CGCCTTTTACGTTTCAGACATCAAGAATCAAATTTGGTTTGGTGTCTGTCTGTAGTCAAATCGATGTAACGGGCATATTACCTGCTACCTGATTTTCATGAAATTTTCAAAGATTTTGTGAGCTGGCGTCTAGATGGTCCCATATCAATTTTATCAAAATCCATCTAGCACTTCCGCTTGTGCACGCGTAAATGTATTTTCTTGGATATGCCAGTATTTCAGAAACGGCTTGTTCAATTTGACTCAAAGTTGGAAAAAAGGCAGGTATTAATAAAAAAAATAATGTAGTGTCAATTTTATTCAATTCTGTCCACTACTTTCTCTAATATCTGCGCAAATGTGTTTTCCTTGATATGTCTATAAGTTTAAAACCGCAAGTTCGATTTGGCTGCAATTTGGAGTCAAGTTAGGAATTGGTAAACAGATAATCGAGAATGTATCAAATTCTATCCACTATTTCCAAAAAAATTCTTCCGCTTTCAGATCAGAAAATGTATTATTTGACACTCCTATAATTTGAAAACGGTTCATTCGATTTGACCTAAACTTGGAGCAAATTTGCAGAATAGTAAAGAAATTACATAATAATAATTTCATTCAGTTCCATTTAATAATTAAAATTAATATAAATAATTGTTAACAATATAATGGCTGTGAAATGTGGAATGCATTTATCATATGGAATGGGAGTTAGGTTTATATAATATTTTTATGAGGTTATAATATTTTAGGTTTTATTCAAAAAGTTTAAAAAATTGTACTATATTGTTTGGTCGATTCCAAACGTTACTGGCATGACACTTACTACCGTTCCTTAGATTTTGTTAGATTTTCCATTAATTTAAATTAATCGTTTCTCTGAGTTCGTAAAAAAAAAAAGAAAAACAAAATTTGTGATTTTGTTTATTTATATTAAAGTTCAATCAGTTCGTCGTGGTCTCGATAATCTCCTTAAATATCAAAGTTGTGTTAACTTCACGCATATTTTTATATTTCAGCATAATTAGTTTTGTTCTGACAGAAGAAAAGTATTGGTCTCGTTAACTCCGAACAAACAAAAAGTTTATTTTTTTCTTATGGATTTTTCGGATTTCATTTTTCCATTCATTTTACAAGTGAAAACATGCATATTAGTATATATCACTACTGTTAAAGGTCGTATGTAAAAGTTTTAAATTTGTATTCTATTTTTGACATTATGTAGTCTACAATTGATTTAACTAAGTAGTCTACTACTATGGAAAATATCATCTCCTTGATTGACCACACCCCCCGACCAACTCCTTCTCATATTATATCATGGTCAACCATCTCTACATCATTATAAAATTATACTAATAAATCATTAAGAAATAATTAGTTTTTATGTTCTTTTGTAAAACACTCAATTTTTACGTACATCCTTTTGCACTAACAGTAGCGATTTGCATATTCAGTATGCACTGGAATTATTTTTTTTAAACTACGAATCATCAAATATGCTATCTGAAAATGAGGAACTTTTTCGCATTTTATCATTTTCTGATAAACAAAACTCGTGAATACCAAACCCGTATATGTTAAGGGATTAGAGAATTTCCGAAAACGGCTTCTTTCAGAGATTTTATTCTCATACGAAAAAATTTAGACCTCGTAATACAGATATTTTTTAGCAAATGAAAATGGTGAGGAAGCTATACTGACCTTACTTGGCAGACATTTTTTTTTTAAGTTAATAAACCTTAAAATATTACTTTAATTATAAGACCTAAAGTTATTACAATTAATATAAAGTAAGACAATACAAAATAAGTAACTAAAATTAAATAATCATTTAAAATTAATAGTTATTTGTTAATTTCCATTCAATAATAATAAAAATAGACATTAATAACTAGCCAATAACAATTAAAAGTCATTAATGATCTAGCCCAGTCGAATTGGTATAAAAAAGATGTCTACCTTACAAAAGGACGGCTAACAAAAGGTAAGAAAGATGTTTGGCAAATATAAAAATTCCAAGTTTTCAACATTTACAGACTTGTGGGTTCATCGCAGTGCTCCAAAAATCAATGAAATTTTGGACTTTTTTTTTATTATTATTTATCTCCTTTTTAAAGTGGTATAGCTAACAAACGATTATATTCTATCATAAACAGCTTGACATTTTTTAACAGTTTTGGATGAAACATTTTTAAGTACACAAAATTTACTATAGCTTTTATAGGACACTTGAGAAAAAATACCTGTAGAGATATATTTTAACGATTGTGCATTTATTATGGTGAAAAATAACCAATTGTAGATGAAATGAAAATACTATAAATTCAAATAAAAAGCTGCAAATGTTTCTGGCTTTAGGTCACCAGAGGACAAAGCTTCATACATTCAAAAGTCTTAACGTTACAAGTTATCAAATTTTTCACCTCGTGATCATATCATTCCTTCTTATTGTCAACAATAAATATAGAAGTCATAACCAAAAAACATTTTTTGTACCCTTGGATCAACCACTGTATGTGAAAGACAGAAACATGCATAGTGATTATGTGCCTGATCAATGTGATTGCACGACCGGATGGTTTTTATTTATTGATATCATTTATAGGAGTGATTGGTGGAATTATGGATGACAGTGGAATAACAAAGATTTTTGGTAATAATTATGTCGAGAACATTATTGAAATGATCATGTTTGAGCATGCATATTCTAGGACTGTTCAAGATCATGTTTTGGCAATCCTTATTTTGGGGGACTTGGTTTTGGATTAAAAGCAGCTCAATCAGCAGAAACAAAATTATACGAATTAACTTAATGAAAGTGAATGGTCATCAGCTCTCACAGCTAGGGGTGGTGAGAAGTTCCATTAATTTGCCATCAAGATTAGAAGTTCATTGCAAAAACTGTATAAAAATGGACTCACTACAAAGCTAAGGGTCCAGTATTTCTAAATGACGAACATGATTATTTACAGAATCAGACCTTAGGTAACTTGAACTTACATTAGTCACCAATAGGCAAAATTCTCCCATGCGGCTGGTCATTTCTATTGTGTATACCTTTATTTTCAAGATAAGCTTACCTTGAAGAAAAAATGGACCCATTTAGACAAAATGTTCACACATCAAGAAGATTTTGCTGTTCAGCACTCTGATGGCCTCTTCATGAAAAGAGGATCAAACATGAACTTTGCACAGAAATTAGACAAAAACAAAAACTCAGATCGGGATTGGGTTCTTTTTCCTTCACCCTGCTTACATACTTTTCAAAACATGTTCCAAATACCATCTATCCTTTTAGTCAATGGCTCATTATCTTAAAGGAAAAACTTCTAAATTCTCTGGAAGAGGTTCAAAATTGGAGTTTCAGAATTCCTCCATTCAAAACCCAAAGAAATCATACAGCTTATAATTTGAATAATAATAAGTAAAAAAAAAAAAAGATTTTAGAATAAATTTAATTTAAAATTAGGTCAAAACAGTATTTATTATGAATACTCTGATTATTTAATCTAATTTTCGAAACTTTACCTTTTTTTTTCAAAGCACACTAGTTCACTTTCTGTTGGGTTTAAAAAAAAAAATGTTACCTCAAAAACTGTTAGAAAATTTCAAACTGTTTAAGATTTAATATAACAATGTTTTAGCTATACCGCTTAATAAGGGAGATATGATATTTAGTATAAACCTAAAAAGTCTGAAATTTAAATAGTTTTGGGAGCATAGCGTCTTTCAATGCAGAAAATTGGATATTTTATATTCACTAAACACCTAACAATATAAAAAAAAAATTTAATTACTAATTAACTTTAACACGTTTAACTTTAACAGCAAATTAACACGTCTAATTTGACTGGGCTAACCATTCTCCATTACCTACAATTTTATATGTTAGATATTTATTTTTCTAAAATCTTAAAGTTTTTCAACAGTATACAAAACATCTATTCTTATTTTTGGAAATTAGTTTTTAATCTGCAAAACTGTTTCTCCCATTTTTTATTAAAGTCAATCATCAAATTCTTTCATAGTTCATATTTATCCTTTTTGCAATGAAAGACCTTCAATTATTTCTAATTAACCGATTTAAAGATATTTTGGAGAAAAAAAAATTGAAAATTCAGTATTTAAGCTCTGCCCAACTATTTCAAAGAGGATAAGACCTAACTGATATTAAAGATAAATTCATTATACATAGATATAACGAGTTTAATCAAAATTGTTAGAGCCGTTTACAAGAAAGTTGTAACAATGTGAAAAATCGATGATATAAACTTACACTTCGGGTAAGTTACCTTTAGCAAAAAAATTGCTATGAAATAATTGAGGGAGATATAGTTAATAGAAGGGAGTGGACCTCAATGAAATCACACACAAATAAGGCATACAACTACCTTAAATGTATAATTTCAGTACCATACATCTTCTTGTTTTTGAGCTACAGACACAAACAAATGCACACCCACACTTAAACATACACAGGAGACGGACCTTACACTTATAACTTAGAATTACCATCTTTAACAATTCCCATGTCTATTTCCATAAAAATAAAAATAAAATAAAGGTCATGATTGCTTTGTTTGTTTTTTTAAACCTATACCTTTTTCAAAAATTGAAGTGTCTTGCATTCAGCACTTGATAAAGAAATAATGTTTCCTGACCTAATGCAAGGAGGTTATTTGGCCTAGATCCCACTCAACCTCTACTCTTTTCTCCCAACCCTAGAGGGTCAATAATCCATGAATGATATGACAGAATAAATTTGAAAATTGGGGGAATATTGTTAGTGGGAGTTGTTCGGAGGTGCGGCCTTAAATAAAATTACACTTAAACAAGGGCCTGAGAATAAAGAGACTAGTTTCTTATCCACCCACTCATAGTTGATTATATATAAAAAAGATTAAATCAAAATATCATCTATTAAATGTTACTTTAAATCACAAGTTCCTAATAAAGTTGATAGCCTCTTATTCACTAAACATTAACAAAACAAAAAATAATTATAAAAAGTGACAAACCATTCATAGGCATTTCATCAATTTGTGTACTGTAATACTGTTCAATATCTCGCAAAATCCTAATATCATCACTCTTCACAAAATTGATGGCTACACCTTTCCTTCCAAATCTTCCTGACCTACCAATCCTGAAACAGAAGAAGAAAATTATTAGTAGCTGATCTGTATTAGTATACATATATATTCATCAGGGTCTTATGTCAAAATGACTTAAAAAATTTATTTTTTGTTTTTTATCTAAAGCCCAACCTCGTGAACCATTTCCAAGGCATAACAAAGTATAACGGTATGGTCTAGACCTGGGCACTCTTAAAATAATTTATTTCTGAAATAAATCATATGATTATTCCACGAATGAATTATTTCCGGAATAATGATTATTTCTGAAATAATATTTCAAATTGTCAATGAAATAATCTCGATGGAATAACTGCTAAATTTATTTCTGAAATAATTATTTCAATATTTTAACATTCTTTGGAATAAAGTAATTTATTTTGAAATGAGTTATTTCATAAATAAATTATTGCGAAAAATCAAGAAATAAATATTTCAGAAATAACATAAAAAAATTTACCAATAAGCACTATTTCGTTTTCTGCGGCAGCCTTTAGACTTCTTATTTAATGCTGTTTGATACATATTAATCTTTGTCAAGGATGATTGTGCCTGAGAGCAATTTCTTTTTGTCAAATGGCTCTTTTTCATTTCCTGCGCTTAGGCGGACTACAGAATTCATATTTACTAGTGTTTGAGACATATTAATCTTTATAGAGACTGAGTGTACCCGACAGCCATTTCGTTTTTTCGGATGCCTCTATTCATTACCTGGGAATGGGTGGATTTAAGACTTCTTACTTAATGCTGTTTGAGATATTTTAATCTTAATAGACTTACTAAAGTACTTAATAGACTTAAAAGTACTTTTTACCTTAATGAGTACTTTTCGGATTTAATCGATATCAGGATTGACTGTTATGTTTTCGGGGGAGCTTTTTATAAAAATACTGTTGAATTTGCAATTGCACCCCACCCTCCTCCCGCATCGACTTTTTGTAACTTTTCAGATTTAATTGATATCAGTCGACTATTATGTTTTCGGGAGTGCTTTTAATGAAAATATTGTCGAATTTGCGTTTGTGCCTCCCTCCTCCTCCCCCGCATCGACTCTTTTGTAAATTTTCAGATTTAATTGTTCTCAGAGTCAACTATTATGTTTTCAGGGGCACTTTTTATGAAAATACTTTCGAATTTGAGATTGCGGCCCCCTCCCCTCTTCTCCCCCATTACCTTTATTTATGTAACTTTTCGGATTTAATTGATATCAGGGTTGACTATTATGTTTTTGGGATAGCTTGTAATAAAAATACTGTCAGTTTGCACAATTGTGTCCTCCCCCCCAATCGACTTTTCGGATTTAATCAATATCAGGGTCTACTATTATATTTTCGAGGTAGCATTTTATGAAAATACTGTTGCAATCGCACATTTGACATTATTTTCTTAAAAAGCGGCCTCCTCCCCTCCCCCAAAAGATAATAATCGACCTTAATATCGATTACTGGGTGGTGAGGTGTGGTCAGATCCAATATTGACTTTTTCCTAATAAAAATACTTGAGTACTGCCCATCTCTAATATGGCAAATGAATGGGGATAAGTAAATTTTGAGTGAACAATACTGTTTTTATTTTGGTTATTTCAAGCCGTTTTACAGCTATCAGAATGATTATTTCTGAAATAATCTTTTCAGAAATAACTATATCGTTATTCCTGAAATAATTTTTCAGAAATAATTATATTGTTATTCCTGAAATAATTGTAATATAAAACATTTCAAAAATAATGTTCATGTTATTTCATGAAATAAATTATTTCCGAAATAACTATTGAGGTTTATTTAACTATTTATTCTGGGAATATTATTTCAAATAAATTATGCCAGGTCTACTAGTATGGAATAATTTTTCTTCTTCAGATTTCGTCATGCTAAACCACAGAAAACTTGGTTGCATACGGATTTTTTTTCTATGAATTTCAAATTCAAATTCTAAGCTAATTCAAGTATTAAGAATAATTGAATTATTTTGATTATATTAAAAATTGGATATATTGTTGTTTAATCAAGTTTTATCTTATGATAAACTTATTTTTTATTATTCAAAGTAAATTACTAATCTGTAATCAATATGGTAAATGAATGTTACTAAGTGTTTTACAATGATCATATTTAACTTACCTATGAATGTACAACTCTCGGTTGTTCGGTAAATCATAGTTAATGACAAGGGAGACCTGTTGTACATCAATACCTCTAGCCCACACGTCTGTTGTTATAAGCACTCGGCTAAAAAACAAGGAAATTTGTAAATGATCAACTTTGAAAAATAATCGTACAAAAAAAAAAGTGTTTATACATAACTACCTTTTTCCAGCTCTAAACTCCTTCATTATCGCATCTCTTTCCTTCTGAGGCATATCACCATGCATAGAACAAACTGTGAAATTTGCATCCCTCATTTTTTCGGTTAACCAATCGACCTACCAAAACAAAAATAATAATTGAAACTACAGTGGAGATAACAACAATAAATCAATAAATAAACTAATAAATACCAATGAACATTAAATTTTAAATAAGCTACATTGAAACGCTCATGTAAATCTTAATAATTGTTCTACAATTAATATTTTTAAAAACGTAGAAATGTTTCAAATTTTTATTCTCTTTTTATTAATTGTGGTTTTATTTACTTCCAATGAAATCCATGGTCTAGCTTAAAATGAAACAGAATCATTCCGTTGATATCTTCTTACAATATTGAATGTGTTGAATAGTAATGGTTTAAAATAAATCCTCGATTCCAAAAAATGAAATGGATGATAACACGAAAATAAAAAATAAGATTTTATCAAGTAACAAAAACGAATTATCTTTCATGTCATCACTAAGCCATCTAGTATATTATTGACAGTAGAAGAATATTGATTTTCAACTCATATTATTTTCAGATCCCAGCAAAGTATTAGGAGCGGGTTTAATATAAATGTTCCCAAAACTAATTCAAAATATAATTCCACAATGGGAGCTCTAAATAAAAATGAGCTGGAGCCAAAAAACACAAAGTAATAATTTAATGGAGTTTTATTGTCCCAATAAATTTAATGTAAAGCGTCCCAAAAAAATAAATAAATTCTTAAAATTTAATGTAAGGAGCTCAACAGATGATAAGAATATTATTTCAGAACAGTGACATTACAGAGTTCCTTCAAGGGTATAGCAGTCTGAAGTTGAAATACATTTATTATCATAAAATAAAAATTTGATAGTGGATTTTTCAAAAAAATAATCTGTCAAAGCATGGATTAATGTACAAGACAATATAGCAGATCAATATAGTTTTTTTTATTTTAATCAGTAAAACAAACATACATCATTCTTATATAAAACTAAGAACTAAATTAAATTTGAATATGAAGTATTAGAGGGACCGAAAAGTAACGTCGTTTTCTTACATTAAATTTAAACATTAATTTTTAACCAATTTTATTGTTAATCGACGATTTAATCACCCTCATTATCGACAACCTTTTGTCATCTAGTGTGCAAATTATCAATGCCAGATCAATAAAAATCAAGTGGCTTTTGAGCAAAATATATAGAGATGGCATTTTGGATATCATTCAAATTGGCAAATCTTTTGCTACTTAGAAAGTGGTGAAGCGATCGGAATAAATGGAAATCCAATGGTTCAACATCTGCCGATTATGGTGGATGGGGCAGTACGCCCCACCCCAATTCATTATTTTTTTCACAGGGTTCGTCTTCCGCAACACAGTCTTGCATCATTGTGTTGCAGAATAACGCCTTTTCTGTTGACAATCGCTGGCCACTTTTCCAAAGACTGATTTACTCAATCCAGTTGTTCACAGTAAAGGTCTGCATTCATAGTTTTTCCAGGTTCTAGCATTTCAAAATTAAAGATGCTGCGAAAACTACACCAAACACACAAAAGAGCCTTTTTGGAATGTAAACCTGGCTTGGCAGTACTTTGAAGCAATTCATTTGGAGATTGCCTTTTGCAGTTTTGATCAACTTAGAGGATCCATTTTTCATCTTCAGTGATCAAGCAATCAAAAGATGCTCCTGAATTGTATCGCTGAAGCAATAAGTTGCATGTGGTGACTTCTCAATCTGCTGCAAATGTTCTTGGATGTTTTACCACGTTTGGTTAACACTGTCTGACGATTCCTTGATTGTCTGACACATATTTGCTTCCACTTTCGCTTTTAACACATCATTGTCTAACGTTGTTGTTCTTCCTGATCGATATGAGTCGAAAAGATCTTAATTAACACATTTAAATTTAGAAATCCACCTTTAGGATTTATGAACGTATACTGGATTAGGATGAAGATCGCAAATGTTTTTGGTAATAAGTGCTGCATTAATATCCATGCGGAAGTCAAAAAGCATAGAATGCTGGATATTTACGTCTTTTGGTATTTGGCTGGCTATTTCTCCCAAGATTGCAATAAAAAAAAGTTTAAATTTAATTATTTACAACTAAACAAGTCACTCTAAACTTAGAATGTCTTTGTCACAACTTTGATGTACACAAGAAGCTGAAAAATGACTATGAGATGTGACATGCACAGAAACGACATTACTTTCCAGTACCTTTAATATTTGTTTTGGTCTAGTCCATCAGACAAATATTTAGTGATGGTATCTCTTCAACGATATGTTTAGTACTCAACATTTCAGAAATCTAGAGAGAGAATCAATAAAAGATAGAAATAAATTAAAATTATTTAAACTTTTCATTTACCTTCCTTCTTGTATTGCAGAAAATAACAGCTTGAGTGATAGTCAAAGTATCGTATAAATCACAGAGTGTGTCAAACTTCCATTCTTCTCTTTCAACAGCAACAAAAAATTGTTTTATTCCCTCCAATGTCAATTCATCACTGTTTAAAAAGAAATATTTGTAAAAATTCATTTAATTTATCAATTAATGTTTTAAAGAATGATAAAATAAAAACAAAAATAATGTTCTTTCATTACCTATATACTTACCGTTTAACTAAAATTCTGATTGGGTCAGTCATAAATTTGCTGGTCATTTCAAGAATTTCATGGGGAAGGGTTGCAGAAATAAGAACTACCTGTAACAGAATACAAATTATAATAAAGCTTTCAAAAAAAGATATTCCATAATTTTTAAACTAATTACCTTTACATAAATAAACCTAGAGTTAGAGCTATAAGTATACAGCTGCAGATGATAACCTCATAACTCAATTCTTTGCCAAAATTTATTTATTTTTTTAAACATTTCAAATGAAAATTCTTTTAATGTGATAGCTGCATGGCTTAAAAAATAGTAAAAATGCCAAAAAAGTAGAATATTAATTTCTGCCAATTTTTAAACCAAGAAGCTATAAGATTAAAATATTTTTCATTCAAAATGTGAAAAAAAAAATTATGACAAGCTACATGTCACCGTAACCTACAAATATTTTATTTACGATAATTCATGGGCGTTTTCAATCTGGATATCGGCAAACTTTGTCTATTTAATTAGGTACTAAAAACTCATGAATACCCATTAGCTTTTTACTTGAATCGTAAGATAATATGATCCCAAAATCGAAGAAAAAGGTGGCCTATAAAAGTAATGGTTATAACAGCGTAAGGTATACTTTTCTACTTTGTTGTACAGATTCGTCCAATAAAGACAAAACATAAACTCTCAACTTGATGACCTTCTTTACCTAAAAGGCTGAATCCGAACATTTACTTTTCGTTCAATTATCTATATTGTGTTAATGTAATCTTACCCAGCTAATTTAAAACATATAATAAATAAATAAATAAAAAAAATATATATATATACATTTATTATTGAAATAAAAGCTTTCTCAATATAGGTTGGACAATTAAAGGCATTTTTAAAATCTCTTTTAGGAAAACTGATATATTAGAACCTTCATTATCATAATGGATTGTTATCCTAACAAAATAGAGGTAATAGAAGTCCAAAAAATAATTATATAAAAGTCTAATTCAAACAAACCTGAGTAGCTGGAGGTAAGAAACGATATACATCATAAATTTGTTCTTTGAAACCTTTATTTAACATCTCATCAGCTTCATCAAGAACTAATACTTTGATTGACCTTGTCCTTAGAGTTCGCCGTTTTATCATATCTAGGAGGAAATATATACATTATTAACAGCTTGAAATTATTAAATAAAGTAATGATATGTGTATAAGGAAAAATATAGTATTTAACATTGATAAAGAATTTAGAATTACTGATAACATAACAAAGAACAAAACAAATCTACTACTATATAACTAATTGTTTATAATTATGGTCATCAATCATTAATGAATGAGACAATATTTATTTATTTAGTAACAAAAGCTGATCTTTGGTAGTTAATAGTATTCGACACATACAAATTTATATAAGCAAAGGATTGAACTAATTTAAGTATGGAAAAACAATAACACAGTGACCATATTACATGCAAAGGAAGATTTTTCATCCACTTAAAAACACAAAAATAGTAGTTCTAGTATCGGTGTGCCTTTGATGAAAATTTTTAGATTGAAATAGGTGTGAAATTAAATTTTGGGTTTTGAAGTTGTTTCTACTTTGTATATTTCAATCAGTTAATAAGTCTTAAATTATATGTCCATGATCTAGTTTCCTTAACTACAATCACAGCTCCTAAATTCAATCGATATAAGCCCAAGTAATTCCTATTTTGAACTCTATTGCTATATTGACAAGATACAACTCTGGTCATGATGCTTGCATTTTTGTCGGCCTACTTAAATGCAACCAAATTTTAAATTGTCTGTTTAGATGAAGTTCAACTGTTGATCTACCCCTTGCTAGAGGATTTGTTTTATATTTGAATAAAAATAACTTTAATTTCTGTTTTAAAGTTCCCGGGTGGTCTGCCATAGCTTTGAACTTTTGTTACAAATCTTAGATAAGCCGCTCTACAGGATAATTGTGATTGATAATTCAATCAACATTAGCATATTCTTTTGATAGCCTATGATTAATCTCATGGTCACTTAAAAATTCTGCATGTCTTAATACGTGATGTGCTGACAAAAAAGGCATCTCTTTATTCATGTAGAAAATTTTTTCTGATGACTTATTATCAATAATGAGGGTAAACTTCCTACATTAGAGTTATTGGTATAAATATGATATGAACTTTTTTGTTTATTTTGTGTAAGTGAACACGTACCTAAAATAGTGCCGTGCAATTACGAAACACCGTAATTTCTCAGCACTATTTTAGTTATGTGTTCACTGACACAAAATAAACAAAAAAGTTCATATTAACATATATCTTAAAATCATTTATTAAACAGATATCAAAGATTAAAGATTTACTATTTATTATAACTATTTGTTTATTATTATTACAACATTTAGAGTAACTGTTCAAAGGGGCTCCATGTATGAACGCTGGTAAAGGAAACATCGAAACAACGTGACAATCTTCTGGTATTAGTAGTAGGAGATAACTGAACCGCATCAAGTATTTCTTCTTCAACATTTGCAATTCGTCGAAATCTTTGTCGACCGGTGTTTACTCGTATAGGTTTTAGAGTGCCATTATCCCTAAGACGTCTTTCAATGGGCTCAAATGTTTTACGATTTGGTATTGTTTGGTTAGGAAATTTTTCACAATATCTTCGGACAGGAGCAGCATCGTTTCTATGTACCTTGCCATAAGTTAAAAGCATGGCTGTTTGTTCTGCAAAAGTGAATAAATTCATGGTGTCTCCCATGATAATCGTAAATTGAACTGTGTCACAGTATTCACTCACACTAAAACACACAGAACAAGACAAACAGATGAACAACTACTGTCATTGCTTATCGTTCATTTGTTTGTCAGGTGATTAAAACCTGCTATTTAGTATTAAACACGTTAAACTTTGTACAGTCAGTCGTAATGTAGTAAATAAATAATAAATCTTTAACCTTTGATATCTGTTTAATAATGGAGTTTGAGATATATGTTAATATGAACTTTTTTGTTTATTTTGCGTTAGTGAACACCTACCTAACATAGTGCCGTGCAATTACGAAACACCCTGTATATATTTTGTCTGAGGATCGAAGGATTCAGTCAATATTCACTGAAATATTGTAATGTAAAAATATACATGGAATATTAGAACTTACCGAAAACACGACCAGGTGTACCAGATACAACATGTTGACCATAATCAAGTTTTCTAATATCTTCTCCTAAGCTTGTTCCTCCTATACAAGCATGGCACTGAACATTCATGAGATCACCCAAAGCAAGAATAACCTGTAAAAATTCTTAGAATAATATTGATTTATATATTTGTTTAAATTACAGTGTAAAAGGAATTACGAAAATGTGAGGGTGTTTAAAAGGAGACACAGTCAACTGAAATGTCTAAGACCACAACCTCAACCAAGGTGGCTACTAGAAGTTAAAGTAAAATTCTCTAACATTTCTCTATTTAATGATAGTTTTCCCAGACAAATATGTCTGTGGACATAAATATTAAAAATGTATAATTTATAACTAAAATTATTTATTATACATTAAAGAAAATTGACTACAAAATGAATTGAGTAAAAAAAATCATTCTTTTAAATGACAAATAATAATGTTAAATGACAATAACAAATATAATGTTTTAGAGGAAGCATTTTTTAAAGCTTGATTAGGATTTATTATTTTAGAAAACTAGACTTTTAGTAATTTATTTATCTCCTTCAATTTATATTCCTAGATAATGGAAGGTTATAATTGAGAACACATCAATACTCATAATTCCATGTATAATATGATAATAAGATCTTGTGACCATTCATCATGGTGGAGTGACACTTATGCACCAATTTTACTATTTTTTTTCTAATAACTTTATAATGAAGAGAAAGATAATTGGAGTGATCAGTCAAAATAAAAATGGTAAAAATAAACAATAATATTTATTTTAACATTTTCTGACGTTTCGACCCGAAGTTCAGGCCTTCATCAGGGCTGAGAAAATAACCAGAAAACAATAGGTATGAGAAACATGAAGCATGTAGGTAAAAAAAACTGAAAGTAAAATGAAGTAGATAAGTGAACATTAAAGTAAAATAAAGTAAGTAGAATAATGACAATAACAAGAACTAAGAAATAAATAATAATAACGGTTACAAAGTGTGGACTAATGAAGTAAACATAATCAAAATAAGGTGACATAAGTACCAAAAAGGTAATCTTAGAATAAAATATAAAATAGAGAAAAGGAATATGAAGGAGGTATAGGAATATGAGTTATAAGGAGAAAGCTAAGATAAGATGATCGAAGAGATCGCTTGAATACAGTGAATATATGATAGCAAGGGAGGGGGAAATATGGTTCGTCATCTCTGACAGTTGACTGACAAAGTTTTGAACTAAAGTACCGGAAGCGTATATAATGGACGAGAGATATATTACAGGTAAATATTATGGATAATTATATGAAAGTTTAATTTAAAGAGGATGGAAATAATCTGGAGATAGAACAAAACAGAGATAATAAAAATTAAATAAATGTTAGGTAATAATGGAGAATATTTGAAATTTATATATATATACACACACACACATTATATATATATATATATACATATACATATACACGAATATATAAATAAGATTAAAGAGATCGAAAATTAATTATATTAAAGAGAAATGAGGAAGTTGTCAGTGAAAAGGAAAAAGGAGATTGTTATGGACATTTTAATAAATTCAGAATTTGGGAATAAGCTAAGGCTAAGTTTTGTTTGTCTGTATTTAAATTCACTGTCTTAGGTTGGAGCTGGATGTGGAGGGTTTCAGAAATGAGCCGTTTGTCATGATTAGGGACGGAGGCAAGGATGGAAGTTTTGTTGAAATCAAATATATGGTTTAGGGAGAGAGAATGTTCAGATAACTTGGAGGATGTAAAATTATGAGAGGATACAGAATATTTATGTAGGGTGATACGATCTTTTAGAAGATTTTTGGTTTCATCAGTATAGGATGAAAAACAATTAGGGGTAGAACACGGAATACGGTAAAAGTATTATTAGTACTTATGTCACCTTATTTTGATTATGTTTTCTTCATTAGTCCACACTTTATAACCGTTATTATTATTTATTTCTTAGTTCTTGTTATTGTCATTATTCTACATATTTTATTTTACTTTAATGTTCACTTATCTACTTCATTTTACTTCAAGTTCTTTTTTATCTACATGGTTTATGTTTCTCATACCTATTGTTATCTGGTTCTTTTCTTGGCACTGATGAAGGCCTGAACTTTGGGTCCAAACATCGCCAAATGTTAAAATAAATATTATTATTTATTTTTGCCATTTATATTTTGACTGATCACCTCAACCATCCTTCTCTTCATTATTCACTACAGTCAACCATCAACCCACAATTATAATTTTATAATGATTCATTAAGCTAAATAAAAATATAAATATATGTGTGCTCACCTTTTGTATTTGTACAGCAAGCTCTCTTGTTGGAGACAAACATAAAACTTGAGTGTCCCTTGTTTGGGTATCCAAGGATTGTAAAATGGCAATGGCAAATGTCGCAGTTTTTCCTGTACCAGATTGAGCTTGTGCAATAACATCTCTACCACGAACTATGGGAATGATGGCTCTTTGCTGAATAGCAGATGGCTTTTCAAATCCTACAATTCAATGAATATAAACCATTAACAGAAACATTAGGAAATTTAAATTGTGTCTTAGTTTGATCCATCACACAAGAGTGATAATCAGTTCATATCCTTGGCTAATAGTAAAAAGGAGACAGTAAAAGATGTCAAGCCTCTTTAAATTCTCTTGATATGTCAGGAAAACTAATATGAAATACAAGGACTTATGAACAAATGTATAAATAAATATATAAGTGTCAGTTGGTTCAAGATCATATATTTCGAAGGTAGCCAAATATATCTGTACCCTGAAGTAGACTGAGACAACTGGTTTCTCATTAATCACTGGATTTAACTGAAAAAGGCCAGTTAGGTGTCTATATCTTTTTTTTTTTTTTTTTTTCCCAAGCGCGTGGAAGTCATATGGCATGATCCTAATCATATAATTTCTTAAAACAGTAATAATTTTGATAGACACAGACAAGCCGAATTTACTTAACTTTAGAAATAAATAAGGGGTACTAGTTCACATGAGTTCCACACAGATTACGTGTGGTTCACAATCACATCGATCACACTTGTTCATGAAATCCCGAAAACAGCCGAATGTGGTCGTATTTTATGACATCAGCAATTGCCTTATCACAACATTTCTTTTCATGCATTTTTGAAAAAAAAAAAATGTACTCCCTTCATGGAACTTCCTTATTAACAATTTATTAACGTATTGTGTATTTACTAATTAGATAATTAGTAATTTTTGTTATAATGGTTGTCACTGTTAAAGAAAAAGAAAAAAATACATAAAATAATGTTTTAGTCTTTTCTCCAAGGCCTGTTAAAAAAAAAAAATGCTTTCAGCAATAACATTTTTATTGACACGTGCTTACATGCAGTGGCTGTAAATATGCATATACTGTATATTATCTTCTATAACTGTGTATAAAAGATTTTTTTATCTTTTGAATAATAAATAATTTGTAGTTATCTATTATCTTTTTATTTGTTATTCGTGTTTTTCAATAGAAGTTCAATTAATTGAATTTATAATTTATTTTAGGAAATCTTTTTTAGAATTGCGCAATTGTCTATCTAGTTTATATAATTTTTTAGATTTCTAATAATACGCATTCGGGATTCCATGAACAAATGCGACCAAAGTGATCGTGAACCATGCTGCGTAATCCATGCGGAATTCTTGTGAACTAGTACCAAATAAGGAGTTATCATGGTAATGGGGTTTCACATTGATACGATCTTGCTCCAGTCACCATGTTGAAGTAACATTTGAAAAACTAGTACCTGAAAAACTTTTGAACCTGTTAATCAAGTTTAATAATTCGATCAGAACTTCTTCCTAAAAAAATATTTGTACTCATTGTATACTGCTAAAAGTTCAAAATTACTTACTAAATTAATATTATGTTTAAGCAAATAACGATAAATACAGGAGCATTTTCTATAAAATTAACCAATAAAATCTATCCTTTCCTCTTATTTAAAAATACAACTTTAGAATGAACATACCATAAGCATATATCCCTCTGAGCAAATCTTCTTTAAGTCCCATGCTTTGAAAAGAAGATATAACTTCAACATTTTCGCTTGTTTCAAACTCCACAAAAGACAAGTCTTCTTTCAGTTGAACTCTCCGTGAGTCAGACATGATATTAATATTTGGATGAAATCTTAAGTCACAATACAAACATTAACTGTACAATACACATTCACTAATAACAAACACAAGCTACTGCAATAGGTAACCTCCACGGGCAGTGTTGCCATTATGAACATACCACCCCCACTAGTTTTTAAAAATAATAAAATTAGAATTATTGTATAAAATCAGATTTTATAATGGTTTTATATATTATTAATTTTCTGTTCCTTTCAAATCGAATCTTTAAATACAACATCATTAATCAATTTTTCAATGTTCAATTTCTTAATTTTATCATCATGATTCTGACAAAGAAACGTTTCTTTGTGACATTTAATTGGTATATTTGTCACATTTTAATATCCGTTGACGTTTCTTTGCCAAAGTTGTAATCAGTCACCTCAAATTTAGAAGAAATTAATTTTATTTGGAGGTACATTTATCAGCGCCTATGAAAAGTCAGTAGACTAAAAACGATTTTTAGATGCGTCAATTATATTATTAGAATTTATTAATAAGTATAACATGTTTAAATTTTTAATTTTTGTTTTAAATCAACAATTTTTGAATTCCCAGTTTGAAAGCCAGACGAAGTCAGGAAGGTTATTTTACAGTGGAGGTGAATTAGTTTTCAAGTTGGTCCAGGTTATGCTGTCAGAAATTATTTGTTCTTCATTAATGGCGTGACATTATCTCCTTCAGATCAAGTGAGAACAATTTCGAGGACGATGGTTGTTAATCTCAGAAATGAGAAACGTTCGCTTTTTGCATCGTCTTTCTGCAGCATGTCAGAAGATAAAGCACATAAAAGATGTTATGTTTAGCAATAAATATTTGTTTTTCACTAATATGGGAATATCTATTGGATTATCTGGGATTGGTGACATGACCCAACAGCAGTACATGATTCTGAAGGGTGAAAAGAAAACTTGGGATGAAGTAAGAACAGGCCACATGTCAATTACTGGATTCACAGTTGGTGTTGTTTGTCACAAATGGTACATGTTTTTAGATAAAAAATTACCAGGTAGGACAGTTCAAATTGTGTTAAAAAAAGTATTAGTGGACCAAATATTTTTTTCTCCAGTTTCCATTACTGTATTCTTTTTAACGTCAGGATTGTTGGACAAATCAACCTTGAAGGATATTGGAAATGAAATCATTGAGAAAGGTAAACAACTTTATGTTGCTGAATGGGTAGTGTGGCCACCAGCACAGCTTATCAACTTTTTTTTCTTACCTACTAAGTATAGAATATTTTATGATAGTACTATATCATTTGGTTATGATATTTATACATCTTATGTCAAACACGATTCTAGTTGAAAGCTGCCACAAGCTGAGAGTAAGAAGTAAAAACAGTGTCTAGTGCCTTAAATATTCGTTATTTATTGAAAATATTGTTATGTGCCTTATTTAAATAAGTCATAATATGATGTTAGTTCCTAATATACCTATTTTGTTTTTATTTATTGTTACTTATTTCTCAGCTTCCTACCTTTTCCCTTTAAATTTTTTTCTTATTTGAGACTTTCAAAGTTATAAAAACATCTTTATTTTATTATATTATAGAAAGAATGAAATATATACTGAATATATATATATATATATATATATATATATATATATATATATATATATATATATATATATAAAATCCATATTCACTTCATACACAACTGATCTTTAAAATTTATAAGCTCAATTTTTATGGTTATAGATTCTTATAAAAATAATGTCCCTTTCTATTTAAATTAAAACAACCCACTCTATTTAGAACTTAATTTTGTGTATTTGAAATGCAAATTAAGTCTTTGTATTTTAAAAAGAAAATACAATTACAATTTATTTTACTTTGTAAATTACTTGAAAAATTAAAGGTTTATTAAAATTAAATATTTCATTTGAAATACAACCCGGGTCTCCTAGAAACATTGCCTAATAATAAGAATAAGGTATTTTATTTTTTACTGCTCCTAACAATCATCTTGCTGAATTGTGAAAACAACTATTTTGATTCCATGAAATAAAATTGTTCATTATATTTAGGCATACAAAAAAGATTGACCTAGTTAAAAGCAGAAATTCTTATCAGTTATTTATTTTATTTTTTTTTTTATTGAATGTTAATGATGAAATCAGTGACCTCACTCCTCATTAAAAAAAATATCATAAACTGAAGCATAAATCTTCAAGAAGTAATCATTTACCCAGAACAATTTCAAATAAATGAGATTAATGTTTTTTCTTCATTTTAAAATTATTTTTGCTTCTCATATTAATTAATACATATCATATTTTTCATAAATTTTGTGATAAGTATTATTAATGTATAAGTACTTTTAATGATAAATTTTGAATAATGTTAGTAGTTTTGGGATTTTAAGAAAGCGGATCAACCAATTTAATACATTATAAATACACATATTAGCATAAATTTAAAGGTTTATTGGAATTCTAAAGGAAAATATTCTAGGTATATTAGGACTTATATTTAAAAGTTTATTATTGGGTACAAAAAGAAAATACTACTCTGAAAGTGATGAACATTAGATCAACTACAGATCTGACTTGTTTGTTTATTAAAACAAATACTATTCATATTTAACCACATTTCCTATACATATAAGGTGAAGATAAATTTATTATGATGAAAAATAATTTTAAAACATAAATTATAATAAAATTGAAATTTATATTCCATACCAATATAAAAAAGATGGCAGTAATATAAAAATACAAAACTATTGAGCTTCAGCCTTCTTCAATATCAAGTTTACATAAAAATTTAAAGCTTTGATGTCAAGCTGCCTTAATTAATTAAGTATATTTAGTACAGTAACAATAGTACCAAAAATTAGTCTCCATTTCAGAAATTAATATAATATTAGACAGTGCTAAGGAAGCCATGGTTTACATCATATATACATTTCATGATTCCTAAATTAACAAAAAATAGAAAGGCCATAAAACGTTTTGAAAAAAAAAAACAGTAATAAAATAATATTAAGAATTAAAATAATTTTAAAAATATATAATTTATTAGCTTGATAAGAATTACATATAAATTAAATCAGAGAGGCAAAACATGTAATTACACACTGAGAGGACTGTATCTAATTTTTTATTATAAAAACAATACTCCATCTAAATTAATTTACATTTCCATAACAAAACATTCATAAAGGTACTGAAGATGTTACTTTGTCCAAAAATAAGTCCAATCAATATTTATTCTTTTTATGTACATTGTAAAAATGTAAATTATTAGTACATATTCATTATATCTGTGTATACACAATGTGCACATAAAAAAAAAGAAGAGAAAAATACAATAAAACAGAATTTGAAATTTAAAAAAAACTAAGTTGATCGAGGATTACAGTCATTAGAAGTAGACAAAAATAAATTATATTAACTTTTGTGTAAATAAATATAATTTATTTTTCTGTGATTCTACTGACACCAATTCCAACCAACTTCTCTTACAAGAAACAAGTCATCAATTTCTATGCTCTCACTTAAAAAAATTTATTTTTTATAAACCTAAATGTCTTATATTTTTTCATGAAACTTCAAAGTTAAAATATAAAGGATTGAATGTCATAATACAATATTTATACTTGTAAGAAATGCTTCTTTAAAAAATTCATCTGATACTTATAAGATATTCTGACTTTTGCTTGATGATGTATAACATGAAAAAAAGTAAAATTTTGAAAAATACACAAAGCATTTTCATAAACTCGTTAACCAGATATTGAGGACATTTCGAGAAGTCTTAGTTTCAAATGCAATGTGAAAAGTATTTCAAATAAATGCTTTGATTGTCAAAGTAATTTTTCTTTTTTTTTTTTTTTAAACAAGTCAAACATTTAGATTTCTGCCACCTTTTTCTTCACTTTATCACAAAACAATTTTTAAAATATGTTCAGCATGATGTACTCTTTTGGTCCCAAGGGTACAATAAATAAACAAGTTTATGAATATAAATGATTATAAAGAAAAATACAATTAAAGAAAAATACATATAGTTTTGGAACTAATTGATTTTTCCGAAAATTATTAAGAGAGAAATTATATTTTTGTACATCATTTAACTTCTTTTAATAAGGGTAAAGAATTTACCCAGAAAATATATCATATGACTCATAATTGATTTTGCAAATAAATATAACAATAATAAAGTAATTAGAATAAATTTCTGATTTGTATAATAATTACTAGAAATTAAATAAATCCTTATTTTCATTTTTTATTAAAATAATATATCTCTGATTCACAACCTTCTGATAATTTATTAATAGAAGAATGATATGGGATGTTCCTTTGAATATTAAAAACAAAACAAAAATTTGACAATAATCTATTTAGGACTAGACAATTCTATATAATCTAGGAATGTTTTTTACACTAAGATACATTTTATACATAGAAAACATAGGAAAAAAATACAGCATTCTGTAAGTTTTCAATAACCAAAACCTAAATGATCTTAGAAAGGTCCGTTATTCATATCAATCAGCAGTAGTATAAGAAAAACATGTATGACTACTTCACAGGATTCGCAAAAAAAACAGTAAACTTATCAGGAAGAGCTTGTAAACTATTTCCAGGGCCCCTAGAGCGAAATGAGAGGATCAAATGGCATAATATATTAAATCAAGATCTTAAGGAGTCCCATCTCCTGATTTATATTATTAACAGGCTTACTAGTTTTTAGAACTTACAGTGTTTTCTTGCACTACAGCTGATATAGGACATAATATTAATATATACCATTGATTTAAAATAAATAATGAAATAGACCATCTACAAATTTCGAAAAAACTAAAGATTTTTAACTTTTCATTTTTCAAAAAAATGTTATTAGAATTTAGAAAATTGTCTTATAAATAAAACTACAACGAAGAAGACATGTATGAAATGCAGAGCAGTGAGGTAAAGATAGCTTAATAACAACTATACAAAGGATCATTTTATTTTCTGGCAACAAAGAGGAAATTATGGAGAAGGAAGATTACACAGTCGTGAACAGTTTATACTATTATTTTTTAAAAATTATTTTTAAATTTATTGACCTTTCTATATTATTCTTTATTTTTTCCCCAGAGTTTTTTTATGACTATTTGAACGTTTTGGTATGCTTTGGCCCCACACTTGAGCATGACCCAGTAATTCTTGGCCAACTTAGTTTGATTTAAGATTACACTAGGGAATATTATTCACTGAAGAGGGGGGAAAAGCATCCCTAAATGTTCAAATAATAAAAAAATATACTATATACAATATTATATCATTTTTTTTTTTATTTAAAGACGTGGGCAAATAGTTGGAGGAGAAATAAAAATTGTTTCTTAAATTCGGGCCTCGCACTCCTTCAAAGAGAGAAAGCCAAATCAGTTGCTACTAAGTTCACAGACCTATAGGCACACCTAAACCCATTCAATCTAATTTAGTTCTCATTGTTCAGGTGACCACTCTACATTATCTCACCCAAAATCATTAAAAAAATCATAAACTTCAGAATAAATCAATCTAAACATGTGTTTCCATTTTAAGCATTACAAAAGTTATTCAAAGACCTAAGGATTTAAGAACTTTTTAGCAATTCTGGGAAATATATTGCTCTTAAAACAAGTTACCAGATGATATTCTTTTCAAAATAAATAAAGAAGAATGAAATTCAAGAAATGCCTTAATTATCAACGAATTGTAATATAAGTGAACAAGACACAAACATTGATCAAAATAAGAAATAATGGCAAATAAATGTGATTGAATATTGACAGTAACTTTATTTTTATTTATGCGTTCTCACTGACTGCAATCTTCAACCAAAATAAGAAATGTTTTATTAATGTAATTAATGAAAAATAAATAAGTTAAAACATTGAAAATTATATTTTATTTATATTAAGATTTAAAATAAATTGATTAGCTTTTTATCTTCTTATATTTCACTAATGGCCATTTCATCTAAAATAGATTAAATTTTTGAAAATTAAAAAAAAAATGGTCTATTTCATTATATTGTGGAAACAAAATACTATAGTAAACGTATAATATACATAAAAAAAAATATATCTATATATGGGACTAAATTAAAGGAAATATTTTTATTATGACAGTTATCGTTTGAGTATAAAAAATAAATACTTTATTAATTTAAAAAATATTTATACTTTACAGGAAAATTTGTTTACACAATTACCAACTAAACATCTTAACAAGGCAACAAATAAGAAGTAGCAATAACTCAGTCTAGGTTTAAAACTAAAACAGGACAAATATTTTTTTTAATTACTTTTTAATGATTATTATGAATGAAATTTCTTTTGGATAACAAATCATCGAGTAATTTTAAGGTGATTAAGTTATTTATACATATGTATATATTAATAAATTATTTACATGTCAGGGAACATTTAACCTTGAAGTGGACTTCAAAAATTTATATATACATTTTTATTTTGATAAAAATAATAATAAAAATTACAAAAATTAAATAACAAAGGATCCATAATAACAACAAAGGGCAATATTCAATTGATACTTCAAGAAGTGAAACCTCAGTAAGCCGTAATAGAAAATATAACTTTTTAAACATACTTGTATTTATACATTTTTCTTGAAAGCATGACTAAAACTAAATAAAATACTTATTAACAAATAGAGAGGCAGGAAAGCCGAGGGTTAATAACTTAGTATTGGGTTACCATTCAATTTAACATTACCAGAATCAACAATAGCATGCTTTTTAAGAGTATCCAACTTAAACATATATAATATCGACTTTATATTTAACAAAATAGGGTTTAAAATTGAAATATTGACAAAAATTCTTTCAATAAATAATTAATTAAATATAAAAATAGCAAAAATCGTTTTGTAAAGCATTATTAAAAAATATTATATGGAAATAGATAATCACCGAAATTGTATGAGTAATTTGTTCGATATTTACTTTAGTTATTAAAGCCGGTTATTTCTCTTAGTGGTTTTGTTAAATTAAATTTGGTAAATTAAACATTTCAACTGAGATGCACACTCAAAGTAAATTATAATTAGTTAACAAACTTTCATTAACATCAGATTGACATTTAAAAATTACTAGTATTTTTGCTACTTTTCAAATTTTATATATATGTATACACAAATTAGGTCATCTTATTTTTTTAAATCTATATGTGCAAAAATCTTATAACAATATTAATATCATTTGAGAGTTAAGTAGTTACACGAAAGGTGAAAACAGAAATTAAAATAAACCACTATTATACTATGCAATTAATTCAGACAATAGTAACAATAATTAACAAATAACAAAAATTAATTAAACTAAAAAGTATATATTACAAAACATAAATACCAAAATAGTATCAGAAAAAATAGTGTATGGCTCCCAGCGTTCAATTATGACAAATATCCTTATTGTTCAATATATACAGTGAGAACTATTACATCTCACATTAGCTCAAGAGATTTATGTGTATAAATGCATTAAGCTTTTAAGCATCTGTTTCAGTCGTGCTAAATTTACCACATCTCATTAATTATATATTTAAATTATTGCTTTAGTAAAACATCTTTTATCACTATATTGTCACTAAATATATAAAAATATTTAACTTCGGGAAGCACTTCTATAATGAATGAAGTAACTACAGTACTCTCTCTAATTCAGTATTGCAAGGATCAACATGAAGTACGTAGCAGATTTTAAACATCAGATGATATTATCAAAAAAAAATTTAATTGTTGATAAAACAACTTGATAAATATTAAACTTTATTTCACTTTATCCAAGCATTCAAAAGTTAATCTCAAATTGATTCATAGAACAATAAAATTCTTTTAAAAATAGGTAATCACTATTATAAATTTAGATAAAACTGAGATGCAAAAACTCAACATCAATATGGAGTATTGTCCAGGTGAATAAACATATTCCACAATGAACAAGGCTCTCTTCGAGAATAAATGATGATCTGATGCAATAGAATAAAATTTTAGCAATTTCTTCAAAGTCTTAGCAGATCTAAGCCTCATTAAATTTAAGCCACAACTAACAAAAGGGAAGGAGAGATAGCACAGACAGAAGAATTCTCCAGAAATGCAAGGATGAAATATCAGAAATAAGTTAATATATCCTCCCCCACAGAGGAAAAAAACAAATAGAATAATTGAGGTAACACCTCATGAAAGAAGCTTAAAAACTGTATCACATAATTAAATAAAATTGAATTTATTTTTTTAACCTTTTTTTTTATGTAGTTTTAACTATATTCTGAGGGGTACTGAGGTAGCTCAGTGGTAGGGTACTGAGTTTCCAATGCTCTAATTTATGGCTCAAATCTCGGCTCATGGCAGAAAAATTATTTATTCTGTTTTATTGGCCGTGGGGCGACCCTGGGTAGGTACACAGTACAGTTTTTTTTTTTTTAATTATATACTGAATTTGTTTCATATGAGGTCTGTAATTCATAGAGAATGGAATGACTGTAGAGAAATCACTTTTTTTTAAGTTTATGAGAAACATAACAAAAGCTTAAGAGTCGCATATGAAGCTTTTTTGCTTCTGATTGTATTCTATACTAATGGGATATTACTTTTTATATTTAAAAATATAATATAATGTGAGTTAATCAATTTTGTGGACACCATATACTTGACACAATACTGGATGCGAGAGTTTACTGTAGCTTATTTAAACAGTACTTTCCCTAAAACACAAACAAGACTGTTTCTTTTTCCTGATAAAGAATCTAAACTCAACAAAAAAAAAATTTAAAAAAACTAATCATGGTAACTAGAAAAGTTTAAGTTCACAACTACAACAAAAGATATGGTGTGGAATAGTTTCATAATTAAGTACTCGATTCAAATCTCGTTTAGAACTTAGCTTACCAAAGACTTAAAAATGAAACTTATAAGATAATATAAAAGTAAAAGTTTTTAATTTGAATGAACCACTAAAATGAGAATATTATAAAAAAAAATTAATTAGGTACAATAAGCAAATTCATGGATCAGAACATACCATCATGGATCCCTATTGGTACTAAGAGACATAAAAATATAAAGAAATTGCGAAGAACTTTTCGCCAATCTGAAGGAACAGCATATGGAAGTAGAATATACGTCAATTTATGAATCTGAAAAAAAAAACCACAAATTATAATTACTATGTAGGTTTTAAAAACATACAAATTTTGAACTAAAATCAGCTAATGGAAGATAAATTGATGAAATTAAAAAAAAAAAAAAACATAGTTATCAAGATAAGTTCAAAAGGCATACAATGTTATATTAAAAATCAATATGAAAATACAAAATTCAGCAAACTCAAACCATCATTGTAGAAAAAAATGTATTATTATTATTTTTTTTTTTTAACTATGCCTCTCTTTATCGTCTTCCACCATCAGAGATCTTGCAGCCCAGTACCATTCCGATTTGGACGTGGTATCTCTTATGTTCAATAAGTGCAAGCATACACCTAAATGCACTGTGTCCATATGTGCTCCTGAATTACATAGGTTGCAATGTGGAGAGTCTGTCGCTCCTATCCTATGCAGGTGATTCCTAAAGTAGTCATGGCCTGTTATCATCCGCAACTCTGCCACAGCCTTCTTTCTCGGCAAGTTCATGGGAACTCGATCCACTTCATTAAACAAATTTTTCCAATGTTTTTCTGCAATACATCTCTTTACGGAATCCAGTAATAGAGCCTCACTGGCCTTATTTATTTCTTTTTTGGCTCTCTGATATGATATTTCATTTCCTGGCTGGTTCAATGTGAAGCCCTCCTTGGCGAGTTTGTCAGCCATTTTGTTTCCATGGAGACCACAGTGACTTGATATCCACTGAAAGAATACCTCTGTTCTTCGAAGAAGTAGTTCCTCTATGATCTTTTGAGACTTCAGAATATCCTGAGCAAAAGAATCATTAGGCTGTGACAGCGAGAATAGCCGCCTTTGAATTCATTCTTTTTTTGATTTTTGACATCTAAGTGTGACAAGGCTTTCTTTCAGTGCCAATAAAATTATTTCGCTGTCGAAATTTGAGGCCCATTCCCCAACCGGTTTTGAAATAGCAAACAGTTGAGAGTATGCACCTGCCCCTCTATTGTATGTTGCTTGTTCGGCAGACCCATCCGTGTACACATGAATCCACGGAGGACTTGGATAATGTTCAGCAATAGTTTCAAGAGCTAAGGATCTTAGTTCTTCTAGTATAACTTCTTTTTTAATGGGTTTAATAAGGTTGAGGTTCTATGAAGCTGTTTTCACAGGAAACTGAGGTGGTATTAGAGAAAATGGTTCTCTTTGAGCAGGGAGAAAATTTATTTTATCTTTAAGCTGTTGAGCTTTCTCTAAAAAAGTACCTTGCGTTATAAGTTTTTTTGATGCTGGCTTATTCTTGGGCCAGTACTTTATAGGAAGTCTATGCAGTCGTTCGAGGAGATTTATTGAACTTACTTTCTACACATCGCTATAGCCTCAACGTTCACTTGCAGCAGCATAGCTAGGATGGGTGTAGACTTCGGCACACCTGTTATTATTATCCATTTTGAAAGCCACAGAAAGTACATCTTGCATCGCTCCCTACTTCATTCCTGTCATTCTATGAAGTAGACTTATTCTTTGTTTTCCTTTGTTAGCCAATTACTCCAAATGTAGACTGCAGCTTAATCTGTTACCAAATTTTACCCAGAGGTAGGAGGCTGCTTCAGTCCTTGGCAGTACCTCTGATCCATATTTAAAAGTTACGGGAGGAATATTTTTGGCCAGCGAAAACAGTTGAAATTCTGTCTTTGATGTATTTAGCATCATTTTATTGGCTTCATACCACATTCTTAGTTCCTCCAGAACGTTGCTCAGAAAATCTTGCAGAGCATTTATGTCACTGCTAGTTGCCCATAGAACTAAATCATCAGCATATAATAGCATTTTTAGCTCAGGAAATTTGTTTTACAGAAATTCAGTCAAATCATTGAACATCAAGCAGAAAAGAAGAGGACTCAGCACTGACCCCTGAGTTAGTCCCTGCTTTGTTTGTTTAAATTATGAAAATCCATTTTTGTACCTGACCCAAATGAATCCTTGGGAAAGGAAGGCGGCCAGAAACCTGTATAGATATCCACGTATCCCTATTCCAATAAGCTTGTGCAGGAGTTTTTTACTGACCAGCTGTACTGACTTTAAATAGTTATAATTGAAAGGTAGGATGTAAGTATTGATAAGTTTTAAATATGTATAGGCCTTAATTCTCAGTATTTTGTTAACTTCATTCATATTCTTATATTTTTTCTTGAATTACTTTTGTTCTAACTGATGGAAAATGTCTGTGAATTTGGTGAGGAAGCTGTACTGACCTTACTTGGCAGAGGTTTTTTAAAATTATTTATATGAAAAACCAACAATCGGAATGAAACTAATTTAATGAAAAATATAGCAATATGAATAAGGTTTATAAAAGTAGAAACAATTAAATACTAAAGAATAATTTACATGCCTTACACAAAATTTATTGATAGGCTAGCCCTATGTTTGATTACATAAGCATACTCATAATTTATTTACGTATTTAATATATATATATATATATATTTTTTTTTATGAGCAACCATTTAAGTTTAAAAAAACTGTGTTTTTGTATATCATCATAAAATTTAAACATCCTATTTAATGATGAGACAAAAATATAGTATTTTCAAATTTTAAATTCTCGTGAACAAAGCCCTAGCACATTAATTTATTTCAAATTTAGTTTGAGTTAGCTCATAAATAATTTTTAAACTATATTGTTTGAAAATATAATTAATTTAAAAAAAAAAACCATTGATTGTAAGTAATATTGAAAAAAAATATTAAATTTTTCTACTGTCAATTGAATTATCCTACCAATCCAATCATAATTAAGGTGAACTATTTCATTTAATAAGATATGTATATATATACTAACCTCATGGGCAGCACAAACGAATATAAATGTAGTAATAAGAACATTCAAAACAGGATATCCAGGAACAAAGACTAGAACACCATGAGCATCAGCCGCCATCCAAATGTGATACTGACAAAAACACAGCTCTAAAGATATTTTACCAAACCAGGCAAATAAGGATGAAAAACGAGATCTTAATGTTCCATTTACGTTCCTCAATACAATGTAAGAGACTATCTAAAATATAAATAACAAATAAGTATTACTTTTAATAAAACAATAAGGTTATAATATATAACATGGTTATATTAAAAAGCATAGATCATAGGCTGAGAATCTTTTTATCATAAAGCCTGCATAAGGCAGTCCTAATGGAGGCCCCAACAGTTCTTTATATTTTACTGTAGCTATTTCCGTTTACCACTAAATACACACACCCATATACGTATATACAATTTAATTCTGTTCATTTACAAATCTTCGTAACTTAAATAATTAAATATTAATTAATTCTAGCCAAATTACTCTATATCATGCAAAAACATTTTGAGGTCGCATGTTCCCCCACCTGAGGTATAGATGGTAGTGAATATTTTACCTAAACATCAAAAAATAAAAATCATTAAAAAGATATTTCTGTAATATTGCTTCATTTTGTTCTCATTGATTTTTTTTTGTAATTAACATTAAAGACTTTTTGTAATTTTTTTATCTGGAATTATTCAAATCCTATAGAACTATTGTTTGAACTCAAATTTTCAGGAGAGCTTTCTAATATTTACAAGCCACTTAAATACACACAAAAAGTTTTTTTTTAAACGGCAATGAAATTTATTACATGATAAGTTTCTGGAAGCAAAAAACCTTTCTACTAACACATCTGTTTATTCACTCATAAATTTTCAATGTCTGAACAAACATTTTCGAAAATCCCCTCCTTTTTATTATTATCTTGTAAAACTATCTTATCCTCCGGAATCATTGTCAATATCTGTGTTCCTTTCTTAAAAATAACTATTAAATTTAACTTTCATCTAATCACAGTTACTAAATATATAACTTGTTATAATTTTTATTAATTGCTGCTTGTTTCAATCCATTCTACCAAATGATTTTTATAAAAGGAAAACAATAAATAATTGAAAATAATTACAGAGGATGAGGTAATAAGGTAAGATAAAAATAAAAAGGAGAGATTCTTGAAAATTGATAGTCCATCAGAAATTCGGCAATGAATAATAAAGAGAATTTAAAGCTTGAAGGTTTTCATTTCCAGAAACTCGTCGCATAATAAAAGTTTTAGAACTTATAATGTTTAAAATATGAAATTGGAAACTCACTGGAACAAAGGTGCTGTAAGAGTGTACTTCGTCACAATCGGTTGAGTTAGGGCAGATAAAAGCGTAGCCCGAAGCAGCAGCGAGGCCAACCAAGGATAGAAATGTCACAGCCAGTGCAGGCCTCTTCGGCATCAGGTTGGAATGGTTAGAATCATCAATGAGACCGTATCGCTGCCCTGTCATCAGGGCCAGGCCAAAAATCACACCATAACACATGCTGAAAGTTGAAAATAATTCATAATCAAAAATGTTTAAGCCATAACAAACACATTCACATTCTAAGGAAACACTTTAATTAATAACGAACGCATAGTCAGTTTATTGTGAAAAGTCATTAACATTAATTCACCAAATAATTTTATTAGATAAAGTTAATGTAATTTGCGAGCACTTAATGAGTTCTTGTATCAATAATAAATTCAAAGTTTACAAATAAGCGCTTTAAAATTGTTTCATGAAACTGTAGTTAGTGACTTTTTATTTACAATAAAGTGACACTAGATTGTATTATTTCAATATATCTAATTAAAAAAAAAAACAATTTTTTAAAATTAAGATTTAATTTAAATACAAATTTCCACATAAAGTAATAGATTTTCCTGAAAATTTTTCGGAATGACATTTCTTCTGTTTTTTTTTTAAATGCTATATGACTGAAAAAAGCTAATCAACATATGAATGGCAAGGAGTGCTACTTAAAGTCTAAGGATCACAGTTATTAAAAAGTAAGTGAAAACATTCTGAAGAGGCATTTTAATTGACCCCAAACAACATATTAAAGACTCATGGGTAATGACTAAAATCAGTTGCCGACTTGAGGATGACTACCGGACATTGGTATCTCCAGCAACCTTTTTAAAAAGAAGAAAAGTTTGATTTTATTCACACAGTTTTGAAGAAATAGAACTTCACTATGTCCGCTGTGCTATCAAAAATATATGAATAATCAATCCTTTGACAATGAGAATGAGAGGTTCTTAAGGATGTCAGGAATCTAATTCAGACTTTTTTTTCATCAAAATAATTAAGGACTTTCAGGTTTTGGTGAATCAGCCACAAATTATTAAGAATTCTAACTACCATTACAGTGAATACAATTCAAGTAATATGCTATGAAAGTTATTTTTACTATAGACCAAAAATAAGCAATAATTAAAAATAATACATACCTATATCTATTCATTTTCCATCTAACCCACCAATCATGGATATCGTCATCTACCGAGACAAACAAAGCTTTCCAAGGCCTCATTACAAAAACTTTTTCAAAGAAAACCTGAAGGCAAAAAACTGTATTAAATAAATAAAATACTACTGACATTTAAACTAATCTTGCTAATAATATATTTTTAACAACTCACCTCAGACATAAAAAGGATAATGATCAATGAAAAAAGGCCAACCAACTTGAGAACAAAATAGAGATAATGGAGAGGGTTGGCTTCCACTGAAAGAGCGGACACTCTAGGAGGCAGTACCAGAACCAGGTACAGAAACAAGAACCAGAAGGAGATCAAAGGTGCAAATGCATAGAATTGGTACGGTCGATTCATACACATACAAAGTAATACAGGTAGCAAATTAAACCTGAATATCACCTGTGGAAAAAAATATTTAATATTAATAGATTTTAGACACACTACGCTTGCTAATGAATATTAAGTACAAACACGGATTCAGCAAGCTAAATCCACCTACTTCCATGAAAGCCTCCCATCAGCTCTTGATTTCAAATCTAATTAGCTAATCCTTTTCAAACTTTCCCTCTGGAACTCTGAGTCTTCTAGATCCCTCCCATCACTAATCTTTCCAGTTCTACGAGACAATTTATATTCACATTTTATAGCTGGTTTCTTTATTTATTGTCAATCCTCCAGGGCTGTTTAGGCAATAGGGAAATTTGCAGCAATGAGATGTTACTGTTAAACAGCAACCCACTGCTGCATTTTTAAACAATTAATTATAACTTGTTTAGCCTGTACATCTCCTTTACCCTTCTCTTCCAGTTTTTTTCCTGGGACATCATTAAACTATGATGACTTTTATGTTTCCAACAATTCCTCCAAAGACCAAATGAACACTTTAATGAATTTTTAATGGTCTTGATGAAATTTCCGTCAAATAATTAAAATTATGCCTCTCTGAAGTCCTCCCAGTTCTCCTTCTCATACAGATTTTTTCCAACAGAATTTAGTATTCCTCTACTTCTTGGAAAAAAGAAATTGAGGGAAAGGCTAGTGCAATCCCAAGTTTTTAATTTTTATGAAAAGTTCAATCTGGATCCTCTCCAATCTGGTTTCCATCCCTCCTAATCCTAAGAATAGGCTAACATTAAAATTTCCATTGATGTTCCTACTTAAATAGATGATAAAAAATTGACTACTTTTATACATCTCGACTTTTCCAAAGCTTTTAACATGCCTTTTTTACTGAATTAAAATGACTATTCTTTTCCAAAAATTCGATTTTTTGGTTTCCATTGTCTTCTTATCTTAATTTATCCTCAGGAGTTGCAGAAGGTTCGAGAATATATCTCTTCATTTTAGTTCCTATATTAACAACCTTCAAAAAATAATTACTCACTATTCCTTTATACCTCACCCTTTATGCCGACGATTTCCAAATCTATTTTTCCTTTTCTCTTTCCAAGGTACCTGTGGCATTTGCCAAGATTCAAGAAGACCGAGATTAAATCAATGCCTGGGCATTTAAGCTTGAAAAAAAAAGGTTGCATTGAGGATGACCATTGCTAAAATTCAGACCACTATTATTAGTTCTAAACTCTTTCTTGAATCCAATACCGACTTTTTTACACTATACTTAAATTATCATCCATCACTTCTTGCTCCTCAGTTAAAAACTTGTGTTTTATCACTGACCCAACACTAGTCTGGAATTATCATATTATCAACATCTACCTATGCTTCAATTTTTATATTCAAATTGTTCCATTGCTTCAACCATTTGCAACCCAAATCAACATGTTGACACTTAGTGTCTTCCAGGGTGGCTACCAGACAGTTAAAAGTAATATTCCCTGACATTTCCCTATTTAATGATAGTTTTCTCTGATCAAAATGTCCGGGGACGCAAATATTAAAAATGTATAATTTATAACTAAATTTATTTATTATACATGAAAGAAAATTGACTACAAAATTATTTGAATAAAAAAAAAAATCAGTTTTTAAATAATAAATATAATGTTTTAGAGGAAGCCTTTTTTAAGCTTGATTATAATTTTTCATTTTAGAAAACTAAACTATTAGTAATTTATTTTTTACCTGAAAGGAGGTAAAAGTTGATGCTTAACATATAAATCTCTAATTTTCTCAACCATAAAATAAAATGAGCTACGGAGAATTCTAATATTAATGCAGTTTCTCATAAGTAATTTAGTTTGTTTATTAATATAAACAGCATAATAATTATTCATATGACACGAACTGTGCAATTTCTGGTTAATGAATGCAATTTCTCCTTAAAAGAGCACCACAGATCGAACAAATGAATGCTTGCCAGTCAGCTCTTGGCCCAGATGTAAATATTACACATAGTAAATAGTATTGCTATGTTCTTTTTTTTCAATAATACACTGTTTTAAGTCCATTTTGCTTAAATTTCATTCATTAGGCTGGTTTGATTTCAATATTAGGACCAGTGCTGTTATTGACAGTCAAAGGTGGATGAATATAGCGACTGTAGTCGTTTATAACGAAGTTTACCCCTCCAAGGTTATTATCAACAATATCCACTGTATATTTATTTCCAATTTGAAAAAAAATATTTATGAAATAAAAAAATTATCTGAATTTAATCATTTTTCCCTGACTTCTCCCTGTTTTGAAAATTCCCTGACTTTTCCCATTTTTCTAGGTTGGTCACCACCATGGTATTCACTCATCTTTTCCACTTTGACTGTATGGTGTACAGTGATCTCCTGATGAATAGCTTTGTAAGATTTGCAATGGGCTACTGAGGCATTCCTGTTTTTCCCACTTCTACGCTGAGATAGGATGGCTATTTCTCTCCATAGATATTTCCTAAGCACATTTATTCACCAAATACTTCCTGTACATACAATCTCCTTTAATTCACGTTCTTTATCCAGTCTCCCTTAACATGAGATGTTAACATTCTGCCCTTCCAGCATTTAACAACTAACAATTTAATTGTTAATTTAACTGTCTAAACATTACTCGTACTTATTCATTATAACAATCACTTATGTTTTATAATACCAATATTTAAAGTCAATTTATCAATAAAATTGAATTACTTTTAGCTTTCAAAAGACTCAAAAATAAAGGAACAAATATGTAGTTGTCAATACCTGAAAAAATCTTACGATTCCAGCATCTTGTCGATGCCAAAGATAGTAAAAGTGACAGTAACCAGAGAGGAAAAAATATGCAGAAACCAAGATCTGAACGTGGTTTCGAATATGGAGGTTTGCACTGGCACCAGTCATATTATATATCAACAAAACCAACTGCATCCAACCTGTAAACACAAATTACATTGTATTGTATGCAGATTATTATAAAATAGAAATCAAATTTTTATCAGTGCTTCTTTTTTTCCAGAATTTTCTTTGTAACACTGATAATAAATTATAATCTAGTTGCTGTAGGACAGAAGAAGAATTACATTCAATATTGATTAACAATTTAGTAAAAAATAATAATAATAAGTCATATATAGGGAACACACCAGTTGTATCATTTTAGTTTCCTTGTGAACTAATATAAGTCAGCGAGTAAAATTTTTTCCATGATATGAATTATCTTTGTTTACAATATACATGATAGGCTATACAGGGTGTCCCGTAGGTAGAAAAAAATACTGAAAGGGGTGATAGTAGACCTCAAAAGTTATAAAAAAATTAATATAAAGAATGGTTTGATTTTCCACAGAAAGGTAGGAAACTTAAGATTTTTTAGGCATCACATTTTTGACGAATAAGAAGCGATAACTAAAAAAATATTTAATTCAGATAATAAATAATTATTTCAGGATAAACTAGAAAAAAATTACTTTAAATTTAGATAGAGTTTGTCTTTGTTAAGAACGTTTAAAGTTGACTTTTGAGTGCATAAACTAGACTAAGCTCTGATTTAAAAAAAAAAAATCATGAATAGTTCTGTACTTTTTTTATCACAATCCAAATTGACTACAGATACACCACTTTTAGAAAACTTTTATGTTTAATAAGCTTTAAGTCCATATTAATTAAGTTGAGGTTTATTACAAAATCGGTCGAGTTTCATCCCAAACTGTGTAAAAAAAAAATGAGTTTCATTATCACTTTAGATGATAAATATTCGAAAAATCATTATAATTAACATTTTCTTTTTGTAAATAAAATGTGTGTTTAAGCAGTTATGTTTATTATGATACATCGTAGGTCTTGGGAAAAAAATAAATAAAGTTTTGCAATAATGTATTGTAGTCATTTTTTCTAAAAACACAGGTACATTTAGGTGACAGGATAACAAATCACCTCATTTTTTTACACAACATGAGGTGAATCTCAACTGATTTTGTAATAACCTGTACCACTACAACCCATGAAGGGTCTTGGGTTTATTTAGGGAAAATACTGTTTCTTAGTCAACGGTTGTGCAAGGAGGTGATTTGACTGAGATCATGTTCAACTATCAGGTTTTCCCCCTTAATTAATTATTTAATTAAGGGCATCCACTTTATAGAGGCTAGGTGTGTCCCAGGAGGGTCTCCTGATTCCAGAGTTATCCCACAGCTGATGAAATAGAATAAATAATTCTTCCTGCCATGAGGCGGAATTGGAACCTGAGATCTTGAACATTAGATGATCAGTGCCCTATCATTGAGCTATCCCCCTCCTTCTCCATTTAGTAATAAACATCAACTTAATTAATATGAGCAGACATAAAGTTGATTAAACATAAAAGCTTTACTAAAAGTGGTGTATCTATAATCTAGTTGGAGTGTGATAAAAAAAAAATATATTCATCATCATAGACTGAATAATTCATCATTATTTTAAAAACAGAACTTAGCTTAGTTTATCCACTGAAAAGTCCACTTTAATTGATTTTAACAAAGAGAAACTCTACCTACATTTAAAGTGTTTTTTTTCTGGTTTGTTATGAAATAATTATTTATTACCTAAATTAAATATTTTTTTAGTAATCGCTTCCTATTCAACAAACAAATTTTGCTTCCTTTTGTCCTGAAGTTTGCTATAACCCCTTTAAATATTTCCCTCTTCCTAGGGCAGACCCTGTATACATAAAAAAATATTGGTAGAATTAAAATTCAAAAACAATAAAACTTACAATATTTACATAAAGAAAAGTCATTTCAAAGAAAATCAAGAACAGATAAGTTAGATTACAGTATTTAGTATTTGGAGAAAAAATAATACCTTTCCATTCATCTGTTTGATCCCTGTGAAGAAATTTAGTATACCTGCTGTCTTCAGTAAAAAAAAGGCCCAAAGCAAAAACATACCCCAATGGTAACCAAAAGCTTATAGGAGAATAGTACTTATTTTCTTTCATAAAAAAGTTGGTTCTAAAATAAAAAAATCATTGAAAATTTAAAATAAAGAATAAACTATTAAATAAAGATAAAGATGACAAAAAGAATTAAGAGAAATCCAACACCTGCATTGCAATTTATGAATTTTTAATAGCCTAACAAACGAATAAAAAATGATATATTTCAATAATTATAGTAGATATTTTACTATAATAGTAAAACTGATAATTTTTAAATTTTCAAGAAAAACAAATTCACTAGTCATGATTATAATAATCACAAGGATTCCTTTAGGTGATGTAAAAGCCTTCAGAAATAATATATGTTATGGGTAGATAGAATATATTTACTAAGCCAGAGCAAAAAGCTTAAAGCTCCTCATCTGCTATTATTAATACCATCTGACATTAATTATGTGGAGATATTTGATTAAGATGGGGTCGCCATATCATATTCATTTTAAATTATCACATCTTAATGACAGTTATTTATTTTTTTTTTAACATAGATGCACTGCAGTCTCATTAAGATCTATTGTATACTATCGAATAATATGTTGAAACAATTGAAGGCATTTGCTAATCAATTCCTATTGTCAGGTTTGATAAATAAGCTATAAGAACGTTTGAGCTTAGGATCTATAACCTGTACCACTACAACCCATGAAGGGTCTTGGGTTCAGTACTATTAGGGAAAGCACTGTTTCTTGGTCTACGGTTGTGCAAGGAGATGATTTGACCGAGATCACACTCAACTGCTAAGTTTTGCCCCTCAATTAATTATTTTAATAATTTTAATTAATTATAGAGGCTGGGTGTGCCCCATGGAGGTCTACCAACAAAGAGTAGCCCCACAGCTAATGAAACTTATTTATTTATTTAATGAAACAGAATAAATAATTATTCTGCCATGAGCCGGGATAAAAACCTGGGACCTTTAGCATTGGAAGCTCAGTACCCTACAACTGAACTACCCCTCTCCCCCTTAGGATCTATAAAGGGCCGAAATTGAAGTACGATATTCTAGCTAAAGCAACGCATCTACATTTCACATGATAAGCAGTCTCTTGTCCAATTTAGAATGGTAGAGTAGTTACTCAATTGCACTGATAGGTGGAATCTTTGATTATAAAAATTAACCTGACTCTCAGTCACTCTTCTATTAGGCCTACACAGGCAAAGATGTTAATTATGCCTGTAGATCTACCTAAAGGAATCCAAATCCTCTCTCTAAGTTAGTTCATTCTGCATATACAATCCACTGAGCCTTGTTCTATCAGGAATCCTTTAGTATAACAATTGACTGCGCTACATGGTCGATATGAGTTAGTCCTGCTGATCCTTCTACAATATATAGAGTAATCTTACCCTACCTGGAAACCCTTGATTGGAATGGAATATATTCCTGTTCATGTATTGACGCTATGGTTGATATTTTAACTTCCAACCTCCGTAATATCCTTGATACCCATGCTGCCATCAAAACCTCTACCTTTCGTCGCCCCCCTGCTCCCTGGATGTGTCAGCAAATTAAAGATCTTCAGAAGAGACGCGATGCAGCCCGCAGACGCTTTAGACGCACTAGACTCGCTGACGACTACCAAGCGTTTAGGGTGCTCCGTAACCTGACACAAACCAATATCCGAAGAGCCAAATCCTCCTATTTCCACGAAGCCCTTTCAGCAGCTCCTGATTCCAAAACCAAATGGCAACTCCTTCGTAAACTCTCCCTCTGTGACTCTTCCAGATCACCTTCCTCAGCAGCCTTTCCAGTCAAACCTGATGATTTAAATTCATATTTTATATCAGCTTCCTCCTGCATTCCTCCATCAACCTTTTCCTTCTTTACTCCTGGAATATCATTTAACGACGACAACTTTTATTTTTCAGATATTTCTCCTACAGACCTCATATCCGCCGTCATGAAATCTCATTCCAATTCCATTGGTCCAGATGGTATTCCCGTCAAATTAATCAAATTATGCCTACCTGAAATCCTTCCCGCTCTACTTTTCATCTACAATTTCTCCCTTCAGAACGCAATATTCCCTTCCTCATGGAAAAAAGCCATTGTCCGTCCTTTACTTAAAAATCCTAACCCTTCTTCCCCTGAAGATTACCGTCCAATTTCAATTCTGTCTAACCTTGCAAAACCTCTAGAACGAATAGTCCAATCCCAAATTTCCAACTTCCTAGAACAGTCCAATCAACTTGACCCTTACCAGTCTGGTTTTCGACCAGGCTACTCCACACAATCCGCCCTAATCAAAATCGTTAGTGATGTTCAGTCAGCCATAGATGATAAAAAACTAACGGTCCTTATCCTCCTGGACTTTTCCAAAGCCTTTGATACCATTAACCATTCCATCCTTTTCTCCAAATTGAAATCGTTATCCTTTTCCAACAGCTCTATCCTTTGGTTTCAATCATTCCTCTCTCAACGTACCCAAGCAGTCTCTATCCCGAACCAACCTTTATCATCCTATCTAACTCTGTCCTCAGGAGTGGCACAGGGCTCCAGCATATCTCCTCTCCTTTTTAGTTCATATATTAACGACCTTCATAAATCAATCCTTCACTGTTCACATCACCTTTATGCCGATGATTCCCAAATTTACCTCTCCTTCGCTCCCTCTGAATGGCATGATGCGTTTGCCAAAATACAAGAAGACCTAAATCGGATTTGTGCCTGGGTAAGTGAAAATGGATTAAGGTTAAACGTTGCTAAAAACCCAAGCCATTGTCCTCGGTTCCAAACCCCTTCTCAGATCAAATACCAACATTCCTCTCCTGTACCTGAATGACCAACCCATCACCTTCAACACTTCAGTTAAAAACTTAGGTGTTATCATAGATCAAACCCTCTCCTGGAATCACCATATTTCCCTCATATCCCGACGTTCAATTTCCATCCTAAAACTCTTCCATCGCTTCCGCCTCTCCTACCCATATCCACACGTAGACTCCTAGTATCCGCCCTCATCTTCCCCCACATTGACTACGGCTGTGTAGTGTACGGTGGCCTCTCATCGGAACTTGGAGTCAGACTGAAAAGAATAATGAATGGCTTAGTACGATTTGTCAATGGGACCCCGAGACGTTCTCATGTTTCCCACTACTACGCCGAGTCAGGGTGGCTCTTCCCCTCCTTCAGAAGACAGTACTTCCTAGGTACATTCCTTTACCAAATAATCTATAATCATCGTCCGTCCTACGCATTCAATCTCCTTCAATTCAAGTCATCTATCCACTCCCTCTCCACAAGATCTCGTCCTTCCGACCTTTATACCCCTTTCCACAAATCAGCCTCATTTCAACACTCCTTTATTGTCCGATCCACCACATTTTGGAATTCCATCCCACTTAAAATCCGCCATGCACCATCCTTATCCACATTTAAAACCCTCCTTTTCCAATTCCTCCTTACAATTCAATCAGACGCTGGGTAGCCTATATTGTATTATTATACTATTGTTGCATTGTATGTATGTATATGTGTATGTATGTATATGTATATATATATTAATATATGTATATTGTATATATACTATTGTACTATTATTGTATTCTCACTATTATTGTATTATTGGGTGTATATATTGTGTATGTACGATTACACTATTATTGTATTTCGATTATACTATTAGGTTCTACGAACATACTACTATTACTATAACATCTTTATTATTATTTGTCGCTCATTTATAATTTCATAGCGTATTGTGTATAGCAACTATTTTGCAGTATTAGGACATTATTTCTCATATTATGGCTTCCGATATCTGTACAGTTATGTAAACACTTCTTTTATCCCTTATTTTTTAGTTGTTTTTTTTGTTTGTTTGTTTGTTTTTGTTTATTGTAATATACATTTTGGCCAGATGTAATGTTTAATTTTATGTACAATATTGTTATTCTCAAGGGACGTAGTCCCAGAATAAAGTTGATTCTTCTATCTATCTATCTATCTAATATGTGTCCCTATTTTTCTTGAACTGAAGATCTGAGTGCACAGCCAGCATCTTATCCTCATCAATCCTTTCAAACAACTTCCTATGTTTTTGATAGGTGAGCGATTTGAATCTTGTTTCTAACTTTGCATCATGTCTGTTTACTTGTACTTCTATCTACATGTACAACAGTAGTAAGATCAAGAGAACTTCCATAGCATCAGTTGGAGTGGTATTCATGGCAACACTTTGTGATTTTCGGAGTAAAACCATAGGTTAGCTTGTAGTAGGCCTTATGACACCATACTATGATAGTATATAGGACTGTAGGTCTAATTGCAACATTATATGGCCAGACAACTATTTCAACTTTCTACTTCAGAATTTATCCATGGTTCTTTTATAAGCCCAAAGGCATCAAATCCCTTCATACTATTCTTTTCAATATAGTTTTGCCAATTTAAGGGAATTATTTTAATTACTATCAAGGGAAATCTCTAGATATGATAATAATAGAAAATTAGCACAGCTTATAAGGACAGATGTGATATCAGATGACAATTAGTAAAGTACTCTAGTGAACTGTGCAGTTCTCCTGATTATCATATTTTGCAATGGTTCGATACCAGAAGAAACATCATTTAGTAAAATTTATCTGGAGACTATGAAAATACTATACAGAGTACAACAAACAATACTTTTGGGAACAACCAGTATAATTAGAAAAATTTATTATGAAACGAATTGAGTCTAACACTGTATTATTTATAAATTGACTAGATATTTTCAATAGCGGAACTAAAAGTACAAAATCCAAAATTATAATGAAGATTATTACAAAGCTATGGAATCTTCTATACCTATTCTATAAAGGTATTTCAGTCTAACTTCCCATGACTCTGAATTATAAAGTAGAAGCCAGCTTTAATATTAGTGATCTTCACATTAATACTCCTGTGATTTAACCTCTAACTACAGTGACACTCATATTTAGTATAGATGATGTTAAATATCACAAATTAAAATAATAAATAAAAATAAACATAAAACAAACAATAAAAATTAAAGTTGCATTTTTTTTTAATAAAGATTATTTACCTATCACATAGATAAAAATATGCCATTATTACACTCATTTTAGCAAGTGATATAATAAGGGTATATGCCTTGGTTGGAGGATCCATTTTCATTTTCGTTCTTTTCCTACGAATGGCAACCAATAAACCCAGGAGGCAACTATAACAGAGTTGAACAATAAATGTATAGCAATCTTTTATATCAATAAAATTGTTAATCTAAACAAAATTTAGATTTGCTATGCATTAAATGTTATATTAAATAATCAAACAGTGTCATAATAATTCATTACCAAATAGTGGTAGTACAATTGGTTAAAAGTAAGTGAAAATAAATTAAGAATATTGTAGTGCTAAATCAAGCTGACAAGAAAAAATGGGGTAATACTAACTCACTTAAGGTCAGGGCACATGGGTACCTCATGAGATTATTTAACACCATCTTAATATAGCTTGTGTGGAGTACATCTGATTATGTTCCAAATCCTGATGGAGAATAGTGTAAAGTTGGACTGAAGACTGATATCACAAAATTTTAAAAATGGTAGAAGATGACAGCAATATTGTTTTTTACAAAATCTAGACATTGAGTTTTATTTAGAAACAGATGAAGATTATGCAGGTTTTCACAACTTGACAGAAAAGGAAATCGTTGAAATTATGATCGCTGCAAAAAATTCTGAAATGGATGAATATGACCAGGAAGAAGCAGATGAAACTATTAACCCTAAACCAAAACTGGTGAAATTAAAAATCATTCATGCATGTTTATTCAAAATACAATTTTTTTCATAACACTCACAGGATCTCACTAAATAGTTTAAGATACCAAATTTCAAAATCAACTCGGACGATCACTTCAAAAAACGTTATGTACGTTTTAGAAAACATCCCGAAAACACGACCATCATGTTGTTTTGTTTTCTAAACACTCAAGGGACCTCACTAAATAATAAAATATACCTAACTTAAAAATCTATCCAGCCGTTCGCTTAAAAAATCGTTACATATTTTTTAGCAAATTGATTAAACATATTTTATTTAATCACAGTTCAGTATTTTTAGCTCAAATTGTTAAAATAAAACTCAGGGGATCTCATCGAATAATTTGAGCCATCAAACTTAAAAACCGATCCAGCCATTCGCTCAAAACAGCATTACAAAGCTTTTTACATATTGATTAAACACATTTTATTTAATTATAGGTCAGTATTTTTAGCTCAAATTGTTTCAAAATACTCAGGAAATCTCATGAAATAATTTCAGCCATCTAACTTAAAAATTGATCCAGTCGTTTTATCAAAAACGCGTTATACACCTTTTAACAGATGACCTAAATACATAAGCCTTATTTTGCTTCGCTTAGTCAGGTAAAAATAAATTGATGATAACACTGAAAACATCTCCACAAAGACATATGTTCATGAAAACATATGTATTACAACGATTTGAGGCATCTTCATGAGATGATTATAAAAGAAATTAATATCAAAAGAAGACAACTAAAGGTAAGCAGTTTCTTCAAACCTGAAAGCATGTCTAGTGCGGTCAATAAAAGTATACCAAGTTTGCCATAATCTACTTCTGTACTGCACTAGTTATTCTATATTTTGTAGGCTATCAGAATTTATTGTATTACTCTATTAAACAATACCTTGTGTACTAAATAACCTTCTGTATTTCTTATGCTTAAAATATAAACTTTTTTTGATCAAAGTTCGAATGTATCTATATAAAAAAAAAATATCTAAAACTTTGAAAAGATGATGCCTACCACACTGCAACAGCTGAATAAGCAAGCCTTTGAATAATAGTAGTCCTCTCCGGAGATGAACAGCAGGTCCCGTCGTTAAAGGCCATGTGGTCATTGCAATGGAGATTGGCGAGAATTTGAGTATGGTGCTTCAGAGCCTTTGGAGGGATTGTAAGGCCATCCCAGCCACCTAGTCCCGAAACCAGGGCACGAGTGCTTGACCAAACTTGAGCCTTACTGTGATACAGCACCTGATCAGTTAAATCATATCAATGTAATACAAACAGGAAATAAAACAAAGAATATTAATATACAAAACGTCAACATCTACTTTAATATTTAAAAAGTTTCAGGAAATGATTTAAATAATCAAAAGGAGACCAATAATCATAATAAATATCATTATCAACTTCAAAATAATCGCTTGAGCACATATGCCAGTGATTGTTGAAGGATTTCTCAATTTTCAGTTATTTACTTTGTTGTTCAATGACAACATGATAAGTAAGAAATAAGTTTTTGGAGTAATAAGCAAAAGTTGCATTGGGCAATAATGAATTTGAAAGTTGTTGATAGGTAATTATATTGCTTTTAGTCTAAAATAAACAAATAAAAAGTCCATTATGAGATGGTGAGTTCTCTTGATGAAAATAAACTATTTTTTAATTAAAATCAAATAAATTTTTTATGGATTTAGTAACAAAGAAATTTTAAATTATAAATTGTTTTCCATAAAAATTGAGTTGTTTTCATATTCCATACGAATTCAGCTGAACGAACCCATAAATATCAATTATACCAAGAAGTTAATATCAATTAATAATATGATTATAAATTTACAATTTACCAGAAGTATTTACTCGCTTATGTTGGATCGTTACAATTATTGCTTTAAAAGAAATTCATATTTTTATTTTCTAGATGATAAGTAAACAAATCATAACAATTACAATTTAGAAATAGTGGCTACCATATTAGAGGTATAATTCAAAGAAACTTACTTCACGAGCAGCCCAATTATATTGATCAAGAGCTCGATTAGTGACACTGCCCCACTGTTTTGGAAGTTTTTCCTCATTCACAGGCTCTAACAGCATCCATAACACTCTACTCTTCTTCATGGATAGAACATCTATTGGCTGATAAAAAAAAAAATCAAAAATATCAGGCAATATGTACTTTTATTTGTAAAAATTTGTTTTTAAAATTCAACTTTTACTTCAAAAATGAGGAATTAGATTAATAAATTTATTTCTCATGCTTTTGTTTTATATGGTTTTCATTTGTTCCCCCATCCTTGTACCCCCATAAAATATCTTGCAATGGATAAATCAATCATAAAAAAAATACAAACAAGGTTACAAAAATCTCGATTTTGGTTTAAAATTCAGTGATTGTTATAAAACAGTGACAAACCTTCCGAAATAACAGTACTTTCCAAACTATCCACGATAATACATGAGTAAACAAAGATTCCTGAATGATAGTTAAGAAACTCATCAAATCCAAAAATGAAAAAGAAAATCATAGTGTGCAAATACTTTTTGGCGATGAAATTTACTATTCATAATTATTACGTCATTAACCTATTAAGTTTTATATTTTTACACATATGGATATTTTTTAATGTTTATTATACTTTTTAGTTTTGTGGAGCTGAATAAACGTTTTGTTTCCTATATTGATAAGTTTTGTAAAAATTGGTTGAGGAAATAATTGTTGTTACCAATATATATTATTTAAATTAAGAATTAAATAGCTTGGATGTATTTAAAATAAATTCTAAAAATAAAATCTTAAAACCTCCTTTACTGAAACCTGTGAAATATACTTACAGATCATGCAATGTTTTGTTTATCAAAGAACACTGGTTAGCTTAAGATGAAACTGTAAATGGATGATCACTAACCATTGTATTAAGAAACATTGAAAGATGTATGTATTTTTAATGTCTAGACTAAAGTTTTAAAAGTGAACCAGATAACAGAATTACCAATATTGTATATCAAATGAAATAGTGATTGATTCACATGTCATCATAATAGTAAGAATAGTATAATAAGAATCTATATTTAAATAATTTTCTAATAAAATGAATTCCACCCAAAATACAGAACTGTTATTGTTTGCTGCAATTCAAATATAAATCCTAGAAATAATAATAAGGAAAGCATATTTGTTAAAATTCTCTAACAGAACTATAATAGAGCCAACAAGGAATACAAGTGGATATATACATTTATCCTTTACCAACTATAGACATGATCTAATAAACATATAATTTATAAATTTAAAACATTTATTTGTAACTTTTAAGTTTACATGAGCATAAATGAACATTGTAATTACTTCTACAAACTAATTAACTTTAAAAATATAGTTTTCTTACCAATATATTTTTAAATAGTCAATTATGGAGGAATAATATCTATTTATATAATGATGTAGAGATGGTTGACCGTTGATATAATATGAGAAGGAGTTTGTCGGGGGTGCGGTCAGATAAATACTAAATTAAAATATAGTAATTTTTTTTTTTTAATTTTGCTGACGTTTCGACCCACTTTACAGGCCGTAGGATGCAGCACTGCGGGAGGCAGTTGAAACACAGTGTTTCAACTGCCTCCCGCAGTGCTACATCCTACGCCCTGAAGACGACCTGCAAAGTGGGTCAAAACGTCGGCAAAATTAAAATAAAATAATTACTATATTTTAATTTAGAATTTATCTGACCGCACCCCCAACAAACTCCTTTTCATCTATTTATATAAATATATTATCAATACTTATGTAGTTAATATCTCACCCTAGCTAATTTGGTGAGATTGAATGTGAACTCCTTAATTCCTCTTTTGGACCCATTAGTTTTTTGTATTGTTTCAATTCCACATCCAACTACAATAAGACTTGGTGGCTCTAATTGATCCTGAAAAACATAATTAAATTATAAATGCTAATTTGAAATTCACACTTTACAATTCCTATTTTAAAAGAACTATAAGAGAATTTTTGGAGGACCATCATTACAATTTTAAGTACTGTGTTTTTAACATCAAGAATAGACGATGTTAGATTCTAACATCTCCATACTACACATGATGAATGCAGACTGAAGTGTATTTCATTAATATCCAAAATTTATTTTAAAAATAAAATAATCAAGAAAGAAATTTAAAAAAACAAAACTCATTTGATAGATAGCATCTTCAGTTTGGTGTCTTGATACAAAGTTTTTTTTACAAATATACCAAGTTTTAAACCCTATTTTTTTTTGTTTTTTTCGAGAAGTTGAGGTAACTGGAGTTTTCAGACTATCAAATTTCAGAATACTGTAATTAGTTGAAAAGAATAATATTTCTGCTGGGTATGTATATTAAAATACAGCAACTATTTTTATCTCTTTCAAGAAATTAACTCTTACACAACTGCCGGAACAGTAAACCAAGGTGGGTTCAATAGATGGTATAATACTGGAACAGTAGAAACGTCTCTCGTCATTAGATGGTGTATAATGATATGTTACTGAAGTAATTCAGCCTTAGAATGATCTTGGGATATTTTCAAGAGCTTACAATTTTTCTAGCAGCTAGGTAGGGTGTACCTTCAGTTTATAAAGCTGGAGAGAGTTCAGATGCTAGCCCTGACTGTGGACTGTCAACTCCTATTCACCTTTCAATCTCGCATCAAAATACCTATAGGTCGACCCTTGTCGGTTTTTTTAGCCAAGTTATTCATTCTGAACCCAGCTTCTAAAGAGTATGGTTATTAAATACAATAAAACGACAGATTTCATAATTTCATTAAAATTGTATATTTAAATACAAATTTCAAATATTACTCTAATAATTAATGTGTAGTTGAAATTTAGATCGACAGTATTATTAATTTTATATAGTTCTCAATAAGAAAGCGAGACCAATGAAGTCAAATTTAGTAGTATTTTACAAAATATACATGGTTATTAATTGTGCAATTTTCAAGTTTCATACAGAAATGAGTTGAAAATAGCTTTTCAATTTTGTTTTAAGTAAATATAAAATTAAGTGCTCACATGAGGATGTGAGGTTTTTTTTAGCTCCATTAAAAAATAAGTTTGAACGGAATGATTTCCTTCATTGAAATAAGTAACGAATAAACAAAAGAGCTCTTTGAAGGAATGAATATTTGAAGTGAAAAAAAAATAGTCGTAATTTATTGCTTTATTAGGCTTTAAGAAGAAGAGGCAGAACGGTTTAGTGCACCTAGTTACAAATTACAAACCCAAGGGAGAAAAGAAGCTTACAGGTGATGTTTCGGGTTCATTAGACAGCTGTTCTCCTAGAATGACATGAACAAGTCAATGAAGAAAAGTTTGAAAACATATCTAAACACTGTCACAAACGAAGTGATTCTGAAGAAAAATGCCAAGGGATAGAAAAAATGAGGGAAAACAGTAAATAATAATTATAAAGTTGAAAATTTGAATTTCCTTTCAAATTTATTTACTTATTTTAATGTTAAGTAAACAAATAGTACATCAATCCATTCTCTCATTACCTTTTTTACTTTCACTTACGTATATATGTAATATATAGTAAGGGTAAGTATTGCGATCATGAAAATTTTGGAATCTCAGTTTTCAACGGAAATACATGTTTTGAGGTCCCCTGAGTTCAAATAACAAAGTGTCGCAAAATGGTCTGTGTGTGTGCGTGCGTGCGTGTGTGTGTGTGTTAACAGTCTAGCTCATAAACGAAAAGTAGTACGAAACTGATATTAAGTATTTAAGGTTTGTATATGGGCCGGATGTGACACCAACTTTTTCGTTAAAATCGGCTAACCGGAAGTGCCACTTTATATGAACGCTGAAACACATTTTTACAATTTTCTCAAAAACGACTAACAATTTTGATCTAACTCGGTGTATCATTGTATAATTAAGTGGTCTTTAATATCATTTAGGTCTTATCCCCGTTGATGTCACTTTACAGGGCTTAAATGCCCAATGTTCATATATGTCTTCCTCTAAAGTACCTTTAATATGGTTTATTTCAAAAAGTTAACCATTTCGCGTTATTCAGAGTTACGAAAAAATGCTACATATAACTTTTGAAAGAATTCGATAAATTAATAAAGCAGAAAAACCTGCGTTCCTACAGACTGTAGCGCCTAAACGGATGTACCGATTTCAATGAAATTTTGCTCAATTTCAAAGTCATTTTGAAATTTCAAAGTCATTTTCTCGATACCCTTTAAATTTATCTATATAACATACTTCAACGAAAAGAAGCTGGAAAAAAAGTTACAAGGGATGTTAAAATTGAATTCCGAATAACTCAAAAAGTATAAGCTTTGTTGATATTGTATGTGGTTTTTTAAAAGTTTATGGAATTTCCTAAAAAAAAAAAAAAAAAAAAAAAAAAAAAAAAAAAAAAAAAAAAAAAAAAAAAAAAAAAAAAAAAAAACCTTAAAATCGGATTATTAGGAGGAAAGATATGGTCTCTAGTTATTTTCCATGAAGAGGTGAAAATTTGGATAAATTTAAAATGTATTTTTTTAATTGTTGAGACTAAAAAAAACTTTTTTCTACAGATTTTTAATAAAGTGTCTTTCCTGAGAGCGTCTTTCATACGAAAGTAGTACCTACATTTATACTTTTATTCTCAGTTCTATATTTCAAACACTGCAATCACCACTTCTGGAATCAACTTACTCATTGTCTTCATAGATAACTTTTTAAACTAAAAATATCACAAAAATGACATCATTCAAAAATGTTGAAATTGGAGTTAGTCATTCTGTGGTTTATAAAATCAGATATAGTGAATTGATTTTTATTGCCTGTCTTCCATATATTAAATAGACATTTTATAAGTATAATGGTGTTAATGACTTGTTATCTGTAAGCTTTAAGCTTTAGCTCTGCTTAAAATGCACTTCAAAAAATTTTATAATAGCCCAGCATTGCCAGAAAATAATTTCTATTCAAAGTAGATCGGTAAGTGAAAGTTGTGTGTTGCGCGCACCAGTTTTTTTTTTTAATAGTGTGCTTTCTCAAGGTCATGATTCCCACCTTCTCATCTAGTTTCCCATCATCAGAAGGTTAAAAAAGTTTCAATTTAAAAAATAAAAAACAGTCCTCGTAACAACACACCAGTGAATTGGGCTATACTATTACTTTATAATTTATTTCTTAATTTTAATTGCTATAATTAAAGAATTAGCTGTGTAATGGGTAAAATCCTTCATATAGTTGGGATTACAAGTGAATCACGAGAACTGTATACAGGAAGAAATTCAAAGACAAATCCTCTCAGCAAATCGAACCTATTTCTTTCTCTAAAAACATTTAAGAATGGTTCTTTGTCCTAGAGGTCGAACAAAAGAATATATAAAAGCCAACAGTGCTTACATACAGTTCAGAATGTTGGACGACGACAAAAGTCCAAGAGCAAGTCCTTTTCAGGTTTGAAATGAAAGTGCTCTATCGAATATACTGTAGAATATGCGAAAAGGGCACATTATTATTATTAGTGGAGGATGATTGCCTAATTAAATGAAGAACGTAAAGACGCGGATATATCCACATTTATAAAAGCATCAGGACTTCGCTGGATTGGTCATGTTGCAAGAATGGATCCGAATGAAATACCTCCCAGGATTCTACTGGAACAACTTTATGATAGCAGGTGGGTTGGAGGTCCGAGGCTCCTGTGAGAAGACTGTGTGGCTCCTGATGTAAGATCTTTGCTTGGGGTAAGAAGATGGAGAGCAGTAACAAAATAGAAACAACTAGCGGCTTATGATAGAGCAAGCTATGACTTAACAAATGGGTTGTAATACCAACTAGTAGCTATATAATTATTGTTATTTGTAGCTACTTTGCTTAACTATACGAAAATGGGGCATTAGTAGATATAAAAAAAAATCATGTTTATTTGAATATTTCTTTCTGAGGAAGGAATGAATGTCATAGGAATTACAGATACAGCTGAAAATTCCATGTTCATGAATAAATAGAAATCATGAATATTTAAATTATATATTGCGGAGCGGTATTCGGTAATATGATATTTAATTTTTTGAACTATAACTATTTTTAAAAATTGTTAAGAGACATAAAACTGACCAACGTTGTTAACGGGCCCCAAATATAAATTAATACACTTACCACAATAACTTACCATCCACTTTCTAAAATTATCAACCATCACTTTCGAAATATAAGGACTCCAAATGAAGTCAACAGTGACCCGAAGTTGAGCATCAGAAAAACTGTGATTATTTCTCGGCAACAAAGTAAGGGGCTGTCTTTCTTCAAATGGCTTTCTTTCCATTAAGTGTTCAAGAAAAGCAGTATAAATTTCAAGAATGCGGGTGTCACCAACAAAAACAAAATGGTTATGGCGCCCAAGAAATGCAAGTGCTCTTATACATCTCCTAGTATCCCTACAAATAAAACATTCCTCTTTTTAAAATTAAATAATTGATTTCACAAATACATGCAATTGTAATTTACTTACAGTTGACTATATTGGTGCATCATACAGCCATAAGGCTGCCATTCCATATCTCCTTTATATTTACCTCCTGACAACAGCCACTTGCAGGAGTCAGTACCTGAGATTATAAAAATGATGTACTAACTATTAACACTTGAATAATAACTAAATTGATAGAATTTAAATAAAAACAATCGTCAGTTTCGTTGGATTAAAATGAATTAAATTAATTTTATTTCAAAATAACAACTTAACCTTCAAGTCAGTAACCTACCATATCGGACATGAACAATTCCATGGTATAGTATAAAGCCAATAACTAAGCCGCAGGCAATATATTTAGCGTTTTTGGCGTTTATTTGTTTGACTATCTCTACGGACTTCTCTTGTCTATCTTCTTCCCATAATAAAAATTCAGAAGACTCGTCATTTTCTGTTGTCATGTTTTGGGTACGGCCGATTCCTTTATCATTTCAGTTCAAACTAATAACCATTAGCAATGAGGCATAAAATATATCAACAAAGAGGTAGATTGTGTATCTAACTCATCCAATGTAATAAGAAAAGCAATTTATATACATATATTATAAACTAGCTTGTTTATCAAATGTATTTATAAATGAAGTGAATCATTCAAAATAAATTGGGAAAAAAACCACTTAATTCTTATTTAATGATTTTAATTTTGTCAAGGTAATTGTAATTTTTAAGGCATTTCCTTTCATAGTAATAAATCAAGAAAATTTTCCAAAAGAAAACTGTATACATTGTTTGTTTTGGAGTTTAGAAATTAAAAGTTAAATTTAAAATTTTCAAAAACTTTATTTTTTTTTTTTTTGTTATAGTACTTTTTGGTCCACCTTCAGAATTAATTACTGTCTGAAGACGACTAGGCATACTTCTTACTAGCATTTAGATGCTATCTATCTTGAGGGATCGTCTGCCTTTCCGCTGATGATTATGTTTGCTCACATCAGTGACTTCCTAATGCAAGGGTTTCCAAACTTTTTGGCCCGCGGGCACCACTAACTCACGCGGGTCGCATTAAGACATTCATCGACAGTCCCGTGGGTCAAAAAAAAAATCTTGTTCTACAAAGGTGTATTTAGACATTTCACAAACTACGGGGAAAACAATTATCTAACTTAACTAATAGCGTCATTATTGCTAAACCAACATATTTATTTTATTTCTCTTGATACCGATATAATATGGAAAATCTTAAAAACAAGAGACCAAAATACTAACATAGTGAAATAAAAATTCATAAATTTTTGTCCCTAAGTTTGTAAAATGTCTAAAGGCACCTAAAATGACACTTCAGTTCTGAAGCTTTTTAAGAGAAAAAAAAAGCCATGCAATAAATTTTGTAGTTACCGCTTCTATGATTAATTTGCTAATTTTCATATTTATTTATTTTTTACTTTTTAAACTTACATAATAAAGTTTCATCAAAGAAACTTCTTCGGGCCGGATCTGAAGTGCGGTCCGTAGTTTGGAGACACCTGTCCTAAAACAACTTATATCTTATTCATCATTATTTTTGTCCAATAAAATATTGAATAATCAACTTTTACTTTTTATTATTTTAGCTTGGGAACCGAACGGATTAAATTCAGCTCATAAAACATATATTAGCAAATAATTTAAAAAACTAGTCCAAACGGATTAACCACAGAGAAGCAACTATGGTGGTCTAATATAAGAGTTTTATTATATTGAAGCTAATTTATCTGATCAAGGCAAGAATTACGTCACGATAACTAACCCATCGAACACAGCATTAGTTTTTGTTTCTACTTTTCACTTGTGACACAAAGACAACAAAAATACATTTTTGGCTATAATAATGATACTAATGATTGCCAGAAGTCAAAGCATAGAAGATGAAGTCACGAACCCTTAAGTATAGACATAAGCTATCCTATTGACGAAGTATGACTAATGACCATTTTTACTTTCACTTACGTATGTATGTAATATGTACTAAGGGTAAGTATTGTGATCGTGGAAATTTTCGAATCAGCGTTTTCAACGGACATACATGTTTTGAGGTCTCTTGAGTCCAAATAACCAAGTCCCACAAAATGGTCTCTGTGTATTCATGTATGTGACAGATCTAGCACAAAAACAAAAAGGCCTTTGGAAGTGAAATTGCATATTTAAGGTTCGTATATACCAGAGGTGTTACAGCAACTTTTTCGTCAAAATCGGATAACCTGGAATGGCACTTTATATCATCGATGAAACAGATTTTTACTACCGTGATGGAAAAAAGTATTTGCACAACACATTTTTATGAATAAGGTAGTTCAAGGAAACAAAAAACTTCGCTTTCCTTTGCATAAACGAAAAGTAAAAACTGAAAAATCCTTTTTACAAAAAAATAAAAACACTTCATATTCAAATAAAATAATTAAAACAATAAAAGTGCTTGGAAAAAAGTATTTGCACTCTTCCACATTTACAAGTTTATTTTAAACTTTAATAGTTTTAATATTTTGTAAATAGGCCATTTGCGTCAATAATTGCTTGCGGACGTCTGGACATTGAATGCACTAGGTTTTTTTTTATTAAATCTACGTTTATTTGTTCCCATTCTTGAACAAGAAGTTGTTTAAGGTGATGTCCACTAGTGATATGGTGTTTTCTTACATTTTGGTCAAGGGCCTGCCATAAATTTTCAATGATATTTATATCTGGTTACGGAGGAGAATTGTAGAGCTTTCTTGGAACATTAAATATTAGCCACTCCTTTGTTCTCCTCGCAGTATGTTTTGGATAGTTGTCCTGCTGAAAATAATACGGATCCTGGATTCTCATTTTTTCGGCACTAACACGCAAATTACGTCGCAAAATGTTCACATAGCCTTCCGCATTTAAAATGCTTTCAATGCTCACAAGATTTCCCACGCCATGGTAGGAAACACACCCCCAAACCATAACATGTCCTCCACCATGCTTTACAGTTGTTAAAACATTTTGCTTCTTTCGGGCTTCATTACGATGTCGCCATATCGTCCTTCGACCATCTGAACCAAACAAATTAAATTTGCTTTCGTCAGAAAAGATTTTTCCATTTTCCAAAAGCTTAAGGGTTTCTGTACGTACTCCCTAGCAAAAGGAAGGCGTTTTTTGCGATTCGTTTCACTTATGTATGGCTTCTTTCTTGGAACTGTACCATGGAGCCCTTCCGAAATCAGGGCATATCTAATTGTTCTGCTAGTAATCTGAACTCCAGAAGTTGATTGGACCATGGTAGCCAGCTCCCGAAAACTTATCAGAGGATTTTTAAGAGCTTCTTTTCTGATTTTCCTCTTCAGCCTGGCGGTTAACGTTTTGAACGCCCTTTACGCTCACTGTTTTCAGTTGAACCACGTTCTTCATACCTTTTTATGACGTATCTCTCTGTAGAAAAATTCAGCCCTAAGAAATCGGCAATTTGGCGATATGTTTTTTGCTGACTCCTCAGTAAAACAATTTTTTCGCGAGTTGCGGCACACAGTTCACTTGTCTTTGGCATGATAATTGTCTATTGACTAAAGGAAACTGATTGAAAGACTAGAGAATACTGGTAATAAACTATTAGAGATAAATTAGTAAACAAACCTATGACCTATGGACACAGGAGCATTAATGCCAAAGTAAACAGAGCTTGTGAGTCATAGTGTGCAAATACTTTTTTCCAAGCAATTTTTATTGTTTTAATTTTTTTGTTTCATTATGGAGTGTTGTCATTTTTTTCCAAAAGGTTTTTCTCAGTTTTTAACAAATGTACTTTTCATTTTTGCAAAGGAAAGCAAAGTTTTTTGGTTCCTTGAACTCATTTATTCATAAAAACATGATGTGCAAATACTTTTTTCCATCACTGTATTTACTCGAAAACGGCTCCAACGATTTTGATTAAATTATATCAGTGTAAAATTAAGCGGTTTTTACGATATTAAAATGTCTGTTATGTATAGAATACATTATAATGTAGGGTTTTATTCTCATTGATGTTCTCTAACATGGCCTAAATGGTTAATTTTCAATCTTAACTTCTTCTAAAGTGTCTTTAATGTTTTTTATTTGAAACAATTTATCATTCAGAAATTTACGTTTTTCTATTCTCTATCCCGTTAATAAAGAAATAACACTAAAAAAAAAATTGTTTTATGCGATTGGAACATTTTAAACTTGAATTACAAAACCAAATCTATTGCCTTATTGTTAACTAGGGATTATTTATTAATTACTATGTATTATTTTAAAAAATATTGAGATTTTTTTTGCAACTGTGCTGTGGGCTGTGAAGGATCTTGAACTCTTAAACTATTTTCCTCCTCTCAAACCGATCCTCTGCAGCTTCTTTCCAATGTCTTACTCTGAATGACCTTAGGTCTATCTATCCATCGTAGACCTGTCTATAGTTTAGGCCTGCCTCTTATTCTTTCCCCATTATTTGTTTTGTGAGTCTTTTTTATCCATTCTGTATATACGCCCATCCTTCTTTTTTAATGCACGAAACTATATCAGGTTACGCATACAGGCCATTAAGTTCTGCGGTTGTTTTTATATATTTTATCGTCACACGTCTGAAATCCTTAACTTTGAAAGTATTGACTCAGCTGGTCATTGAGGTGGATAAAAAATTCAAATTATTTGTGTTCAGTTTAACAACTTTAATCTGAGAATTAATTCGTTCCCGTTTTACGTTCTATCTTCGTTCCGAACAACACTTTGAACACGATTGAGAATAATGAAGCAGATATACATAATACTAAAACCATATAAAACGAAGACAGAAATTTTTTTTTAAAAAAGCGGAGAAATACAGAAAAATTAAGGAACAAAAAAGCAGCTTAAAACCTGAACGTTGAAGTTAGAAACATTGAAGAGAGCCGGAGAGCAACATTATTCAAAAGATATAAAATAAATATAAAAATATAAATATGAAAGATGTAAATGAATCTGGGGGCGAGGTTGCTGAAGGTGCTAACACGTGTGCAAACCAAATTGGTAAACTGAATATTATTAATACTGGCGCCGAGGGCTTAACTCAGAAACAAATTATAAATACAAAATAAACATAATAATAACATAATAAAATTAAATATTTGTAAAATAGCAGGTAATTAAAAATAAAAGTACAGGAGAGAGAAGAAAAAAATATATATATATATATATATATAATTATATACTTATAAACATTTTACAACGTAAACGTACTCATAGTTATTTACTTATATCCAATTATTTGTTATACAAGTACAAAGTACAAGAGAGAAAAAAACGTCTCCCAAGTAAGATCAGTTTAGCTTCCTCGCCGTTTTCATTAGCTACAAAATATTTTTGTTACAAGATCTAATTTTTTTCATATGAGAATAAAATCCCTGGGAGAAGTCGTTATCGTAAATTCAGTAATCTCTCAACATATACCGGTTTGATATCCACGAGTTTTGTTCATCAGCAACTACTATCATGCGAAAGAGTTCCACATTTGCGGATTACATGTTTGATGATTCGTAATTTTAAAAAAATAATTC